TTTAAAAAACGTAATAACTTTTTTCTACTGAATAATTTTAAGATTTGTTTTTTTAATAACTATTTACCAGAGCTCTGCGCTATAATTTGTGTATTTTATATTTTATAAATTTAAAATTAAAAATAAAATATCTGAAGCTATTATATTTAAAAAATAGCTTTTTTTAAAAAAATTTTATATAATTAAACTTTTTTTTTTGCTCGTTTTATTAACGATAAATTATATATGACTGACGATATATGATGAGCGTTTATCAGACATATATCTTAAATTAATATGATACGAATGCTAACAAATTGTACAATATTTTATGGAAACTATTAATTATTTGAAAATTTAAGCATGTAAACAATGTTATATTTTACAAAAATTTAAAAATCGTTTAAAAATAATTGAATCAACTTTAATAAAAACTGTTGACACCGATATTTTTCTAAAAATTGGATTTAAAAAATGGCTTTAATCTCTTGATTTTTTTAAAATTTAAATTACAATTTTACATTTATATTGAAAATTTCAAACATTAAAATTTAACTAAATATATTTAAATTATTGTGATAATAATTTTAAAATAAAAACTTATTCAATAGAAAAAAAAATTATTTAATTTTGTTAAGTAGCTTAATATATAATTGAATATAGTCTAAACCGTGTGGTTTTTTATTTATATCCCCTCATATTCCACATCAATCGATATTGACGATGAAACACCGGAAATATAACATAATAATGATATATAAAACGCACATGCCTATATTTTTCATCATTTTGTGTTTCATAAAAGTAATAAAATATAACTGTTGTTTCGCGCAATTTCAGATGAAATCCGTGTTCCTCATGTATTGTTTTCGTTTTATAAACACACGCCAGAGCAAATTTTAGTTCACCAGAACCGATTCCATGGTTTTAAGTTTAATATTAGAGTACATTGGACCTATAACCAATCTTAAAGACACTAACGGTGTTACCGTGTTTGGCATCGATTTTTTTTTTTTTGGTTTTTAAGTGAGCGTGTTAAATATTAATAAAAAAATATTATGTAATTCGATTGTTATCATACAAGGGGGGGTATGGGGGATGAATCCCCCATGGCCTTTTTATGAAATAAAATAGGCCTCCCTTTTTTAGGAAATTATGTAGATCGTAGAATGCTATGATGTTATAATAATTTATCGTATGTTGTTTTTACATAAGAAAGGGGATATGTTTGTTTAGCTCCCACTGGTCACTTTTTAATACATTTTCATATTCCCCTTCCCTAATAAAAGAATCTTAAGAACGCCTATGATTGAGTTCACACCACGACAGTTACATCTAATATATGTAATATTATCGTATAAAGCCTTATAAAATAATGTTACGGGCACGTAGAAAAAAATCGCGAATCTGATTGAGTTTGATTGTTTTTTCGGTACACATAATATTATTATTATTTATTGTAACGGGTACTACGGGTACACTGCAGCGTCCAACGACGACGGCATCCCGCCGGCCGTATTGTTACCGCGGTTGTCTCGGGTATAAAAAAAAAAAATTATTAATATTATAATTATCTGGCGGCGAATTATTATCATCGGTATTATAATATAGACATACCGTACATACGGTAATTAATACGCAATATTATTATTCCGATCCAGTTGTGATAATATAATATTATTACCTTGTCTTTGTGTGATTATACGTATTATTATTATTATGTAGATTCGTCGACAGTCCAAATATCAATAGTCGCGGTCGGGTCGGGTCTCGCACGGTTAATACGATATAATTATGAAACGTGCCCCCGAGCCGAACGGCAATAATAGTACTAGTGGTAGTAGTAGTAGTAGCAGTTCGAGTAGTAGTGACAGCAATAGTAAGTTATAAGTAGCTGTGTATATTAATAATTGTTATTACGGTGTTCGACCGAATACAAGGCGATCGGTCAATACAGCACGATGCACGTTGTGTCAAAAAGTATAAATACGGTTTCATTTTGGGAATTTTCTTTATTGAAAATTAGGTCGGTGTTTTGAAAAAAAAAAAAAAAATGATAATAATCAGCTCAGAAATGTATCGTTGCGCTCATTGCTTTCACCCTTATGTCCAGGTGATGAAACCGTTGTTATCTTTCGATTTTCTAACGGCGGCTTCATATTATATGTTTTAAACGAAAAATCATAATTTTTGTTGATCTTTACGGGTTTAAAATCTACGAATGATTCGTTTACGAGATTTATAATTCTGTGAATTACGGTATTTAGGACGCGATACACAGGAAGAGCTTCGTCATCATTATGGAGATTGTTTAGTATGATGTTTAGATAATAGACATAGCACATAGATGTGATATGGATAGGCCATCAATAGTATTTTTGCGGTCGTAAATAATGGTCCACTCAGCGAAGTTGTGCACTCAATTAAATAATGAGGCATAATGATTTATATTTTCAGATACACTTACCTAAGAGGACGCTATCATAAAACAAACGTTAAAAAGGGCCTATATTACTTTCCCTTATACTGGTCGTACTCATAAGTCTCTCGTGAACCGTGATTAATAATGTATTAAAATTATGAGTCACCTATCTTTAATATCTATTGTATAAGGTCAGAGATGTTCACGAAAATATAAATAAGTTATTAAAAAAATAGCCATTTCGATACAGTGTACGTGCAAATATGCATAATGTGTATTTATATACACATATGTATGTGTATAATGATATATTAGAAAAACTCTCGTCTCTTATTTATCAACGGCGGCCATTTCGAAAACTTCAATCATTGAATAAACAAACAAATGTTCGTTACGATCTTATTTTGACGGTTTAAAAGTATAATATTCGTTTTATTGTTATCGAGCTCGGTTTGTTGGTTTAGTTAAGCCCACCGATCGCAGTGAAAACAATACAAATGCAGTGAGATCTCCTTACTTGTCATTGTTTTTATGAACTGTGATTCCGACGATTCACACGGTGAACATCACTATAATCGTTATATCACGTAGATATGGAATAATAATATTAATAAAATTACCTAGTCATCGTTAGTTTATTATAGCTTTTGAAAAATAGCACCCTACCAGATCAAATAAACGGAGAACGAACGCGTGGAAGAAAAATAACAATTCCAGCGTTAAAGTTCATGCATAAAAGTAAAAAATAGTTTTATGAAAATCTGTTGTTAGTAGTATATTAAAATGTCATTTAAAAATCATATTGTGTCTATTGGTTTCATCCCTCAAAAAAAAAAAATTGGTTTTGAGTGTTTCTTAAATTTGTGCAAAAATAAAAACCAATGCATTATTAAAAAATCAGTGTTTTACGCTAGATTTTAGATTGATCGGTAATGATGATCACTATAGGGCAGTTTTTTGCATGTATTAAAATCCTTTGAATATATAATATGAATACATGCGCTAAAAACACCAAAATTAATATTGGATGTAGATATCTCAATCAATGTTATTTGGTAATTCTCTATTCGTAGAAAATATTTGAATACATAAAAAAATCTTTAAAATATCTTCTAAAGACGCAGAAAAAAAAAAACGCTAAAATATGCGAAAAACACTTCAGCAGAGGTAAAGAATCGTAAGTCACGAAACGCATTTTGGTGTAACCTAACCTAAACGAGCTTTTTTTTTTTTTCGACAGACCAATAAAAATATGCAAAAGCGTATAATTATTATTTGCCCTCTCTGTGTTTGTACGTCATCGTGCGAGCGTTGGTATATTATATTATTGTTGCACTTGATCTCTCGTGGCGACCGACCCATTGGCCGTACGTCCCGTTCCCGGACAATAATATCTTAATATACGAAGATGCTTATGTCCTACATGAGTATAATGATGCACGGGGACCGACTGAGCGTCTAAAATAACGTCGAGTGTGGCGGCGAATGTTCTGCGTTACAAGATTACACGACAAAATGGTATTTTGCCGGCGACGACAATGAGGCGTTCCGAAAGAAAAAAAAAATCCAAGAAAATAAATAAATAATAATAATAAACGATCGACGAGAAATAAAACGATATTATAACACCGGGTACCTATATAGAATAAACATTATTTATGGTTACGTCCTTGAAAGCGCTTCATCGGTCCGGTACATGGGAAAACATCGTTGGGTATTCGAGTACTGAAATCGTATGGGTATTCATAACAATAATGCGATTATATTTAAAAGTTATTTTTTACGATAATACGAAAAAAAAAAAAAACTAATAATTATCATTATAGTAATAACATAAAATATACCATAATTATACAATATTTATTTTTATGTAATATACAATTATAGCATTGTAGTGCAGTACCTAACGGTCAAGTTATTGGAATGAGTTATATTTATATTATTGTCATCAAATTTTTAACATATATGATATTATACTGCAGCCGAATAGCGTTAATTCGAGCCGAAGAAAATTAATTGCCCAATACGTAATAACATTTGAATAATGCGTGTGTTGCGCGAAAATTACATCACACGTTAAAAGTATTGAAACTCTAATGGAATCGATTTATTGTAACGCGAGAGTTCGTGATGAGGGTCGTGAAACCACTCATTCGGAGTGTTGAATAATACCTATACCTATATACTATAATAAAATAATAATATAATATTGTTAATTCTGTGGGTCAACGTATTTACAATTTTTACATGTAGGTACTCAGCACGCGAACGTTAAACAATGAGACCGTCACTAATGTGTTATTGCTGTTTTTATTTTTAAAGAGAAGATAAACAACCATATTTGAAATTTAAAAAAAATATATTTTTGTGTACCTAGATAGTTTATACGTCATTATTTTTTTCGTCTTAATTTAGATTTTTACCGAACGGAGGTCTGTATAATATTATAATAATATGACGTTTATACTGTTTATGTTACGGTAAAATGTAAAGAAGACAAAAAAAAAAAAAATGATACAACGTGATGCATTATTTACTTTGTAAAAAAAAAAAAAAAAATGAATACGTGCAATGACGACTATTTAAAATATTTTCAGCCATGAGGATTATCGGTGTCTTGTTTACCGTTATCCTTTTGTCTATTCCATCGTCGCGATGTCTATCACGCATAGACGACGACGATCCGCTCGATTACCAACGCAGGGATTGGAATTTGTTATCGACCAGGGCTGCCGTCGAACGAGTGCCTCTGCAGTTCGAAAGGTAAGAACATTCATTTATTTGAACGACAATCTATATGGTTTTTTTTTTTTCAAATATGTATTATGTAATGTATTTTCGTATTAACTTGAAAACTGGTATTGCAATTTTGTAAATGTCACTCATGTTTACCAGGCACCACAAAAATACTATTTGATTGTCCGATAAAAAATAATATGCTAAGGCTGGGTTGCAAAAACTTTCTGTAAAGACATATAAAACCATAAGCGCAATTAAAGATTTGTAAACTAGATTGGGTGTTGCTCGAACATTCTGTATTATTTGCAGACCTGTAATTTAATTATTTGCAGATCTGGAACAGACTATAATTTACAGAATAAAATTCGTATCTGTAACTCCTTGCAGAACAATTCACAGATCGATGTTATCATTTTATCAATGTTATTTTTTTGTAATTCTGCATATCATACGAACATTATTAAATTAAAAACCACCACATCATCTCCATTCATCGTTTACTGATATGTAAATTCAATAAACTAAATCCCACAATTATTCTGTGTAAAATATATTTTATTATATGTTGTCTTCAAATTTATCACAATTCATCATGTAGACACTACAATAAATATACAATTTTTAATTATTCGTGCATATAAATAAAATTATGTTCGTGTAATGACCATAATTCACAACACATGTTTTTATCCTTATATTTTACTATAATTTAATCTAGGTGCATTTTCAAGTCAAAAATACATTTATTATTAAAGTTAAATTATTTTTGCTATTTCAATCATTTTTGAAAACATTAGTATAAATTGCGTGTAATATTATTAATAATTAAGAGTGCAATTAATTTATTTTTAGATTCTGAGTGAAGCGAGGGATCTATTGGTTTTACTATGATAAGTATTATTTTTTTTCTGTCTGCAAATAACTTTTTTTTTTAGGAATCCTACTCTAATTAAAACATTACAAGAAAACTTTTTTGTTGCATTTTGGTTTTAGTTAGTTCTTTACAATGGTCATTTTTTGAAATTCTCTTTAATATTTAAGACAATGAGAAAAAATTGGTTCTTTAGGTTAAAAAAAATTAAAAATGAGATTGTCGTTGCAACTGTTTTTATTAATTTTTATTATTTTAAGATTTTAATCTTTTTTAAACAATCATTGTTGTGAAAACGTAAATTGTTGAAAAATCAATGCTATTGACCGAGATCCGCTGAGAATCGTATTTCGTGATTTATCGTTGCGTACAGATATAAATTAAATTACTCCCCTCTTATATCCTACTTTCTTCCGAACATCCCACTTACAACAGTGGCCGCACCCGTCCCCAGAATCGGCTCATTTTTCGTAAAATTAAATTTTGTGCTGACTCTTTTTGATCTTTGAACTTCATCCCAGCCAAGAAGACTGTAATTTTAACCTTTATTATAATTAGTATTACTCAATAAACTTGTTATAAACGAATATTTTTATTATTGTTATTGTTATTAATATACGTGATTAATAAAATGCACCATGCACTAATAGGTATCAAATTCACGTTCCTATCCGGGATGCTGTAGAAAAACTTCCTTCAAAAAAGGATCCATTGATAGCAAAATATAGACTGGCGTCCGGAAGTAATTTTTGAAAATACTTACTGATGTGTTTTTATGTACTTTTGTATTCTTATTTTAACTATTCTAAATTTTCTAGGTTCTAATGTTTTTTGTCATCTCGACACTACACAATACCATAAAAATCAAATTCCTCAAAAATTGGAACAAATAGTTTTATCTTCGTGTACACACGTGTTATTTAATTCTGTAGATACAAATTTCGACGCTATTGCCAACAACTGGTATTCTAGTCAATCGAATGGTACGAAAATAAGAATTTGTAGGTTATGTTTATTGATAAGTGTCTATAATAAAATTGTTAATTTGTTTAGGTACTTTTGCTTCAATCATACGTTTAAAAAAAAAGGATCCTTCGATAAAAGTATTGCTATCAGTAAATTCAATTTCACCCGAAAGTGTCTCGATTTCAAGGAGAGATTTTATCCTTTCCGTCTCCGACGTATTGAAAACCAATGGATTTGATGGATTGGTTTTATCCGATATCTTACCTAAAACCGATAGTAAAATATTTGAACACGAATTATTATTTAATGATTTATTGCTATTATAATAAAGTATATTTTTAGACGAATTTGGCGAAGACGATAACACAAAAGAGGAGTTCCCGTTATTGATAGAAGAACTGGCCAGCGTTCTAAAAACAAGGGGATGGTTGTTATCACTAATCGTACCACCACTGGATCAAACTTCTCGGAATTATGACATCAAACGAATTATTTCAAATTTAGATTTTATCATTCTCAAAAGCTTTGATTTCCGTCATGACAATGAAAAGATTATTAGCCATCACGCTCCACTTTATAGTGCAGTAGAAAGAGATCCGTCGTCCAAGTATCGAAATGTGGTAAATATCTGATGTTATAAAATATTTATTATCTTTATCAATTAAACCTAATACTGAAAATACATTTTCAAGGATCATATGGTAAAGCATTGGTTACACAAAGGTGCTGAACCTAGTCAAATAATAGTTGGTGTAGCTCTGTTCGGAAGAAGTTTCAAGTTAGCTGACCCAAAAGATTTCCAACCAGGTTCTCGAACAATAGGTGACGGATATGCTGGCAAATGGACAAAAACATCTGGATTCTTATCATACTATGAAATATGTGACCGTACCAAACAAGATGATTGGAGACAGTATTCGGACAAATCCGGTTCGCCGTTTATTGTTAGAAAAGATCAATGGATTAGTTATGAAAATCACCATAGCCTCACAAAAAAAGTAAACTAAATAAAATATTTGAAATTATATTTGTACAATCAAATATTTATATTTTAGCTTGGGTACATGGAAAAATTAGCATTGGGTGGTGTTATGGTATGGTCACTAGATTCAGACGATTTTAATGGTCTTTGTGGTACCCCTTGGCCGCTTGTTAACACAGTGAAAACATACGTCAGTAACGGTAAGATTTAATGCTTTGACTTCAACATGTTCATTTATAATAATATTTTATATAATAATCTAAATTTGTTTTTTTTTTTTTTTAATTAAATTCCAAAGTCAATAAAAAATATTTGTCGGCAAACGATCAAAAAGAAGCGTCAATAAAAGCTGGTAATATTTTACTTAATTCTACAGTTCAACTTTAATCTCTAATAAATAATTTCTTTGTAGATCTTAACAAAAAAGTAGTATGCTATTTCGCCAGTTGGTCGTGGTATCGGTACGCAGAAGGCAAATTTGCACCAGAGTATATAGATCGAAGTTTGTGTACACATGTGGTTTATGCATTTGCATCATTAGACCCTAATGATTTAAAAATAACATCGGGAAATGAATGGGAAGATTTTGAAAACAGTAAGAATTGCATACAAAACAAATTAAGTACAATTTGAAATATAAAAAATATATGTATATTAAACTTATAGGATTCTACGAACGATTGGTGTCCAATTCAAAATCTGGAGATATTAAAGTAATGATTTCTATGGGTGGTTGGACAGACTCTGCTGGTGACAAATATTCAAAACTCATTAGCAGTGGTACTACTAGAAGAAAGTAAAATTAATAGAATATCAAAACGAACAAGTTTACAATAAGTGTTTTAATTTTAGTTTTATAAACTCCGTTGTTGCATTTTTGAGAAAATATAACTTTAACGGTCTTCATCTGGACTGGAACTATCCAGTGTGTTGGCAAGCTGATTGTACTCAAGGTCCACTTTCAGATAAAACTAATTTTGTTAAATTAATACAAGTATGGTGTTATTTACATAACACGATAATAAAATGTATTTGTAGGCAACTAATTTTTACATTTTAGGAATTGAAATATGAATTCAATAAACAAGATCCACCGTTCGAATTATCAGCCGCTATATCTGGCTACGAAGAAATTATCGAAGAAGCTTACGACTTTCCCAGTCTAAGTGAATACTTAGATTTTATGTCGATAATGACATATGATTATCATGGCTCTTGGGAAAATACCACTGGCCACGTAAGCCCAGCTTACTACAAAGACGGTGACGAATTTCCTAAATACAATATGGTAAATGAAATAAAAATCAGTAATATCTGGTTATTTTGAATACTATATGTTTCTATAAACTTAGGATTCCACTATTAAATTAATACGAAAACTGGGTGCAGATCCGGCAAAAATAGTAGTGGGTGTTCCGTTTTATGGCCAAACGTATACACTATTATCAAATTCAGAGCACGGGCTGGGTGATCCTGCTAAAGGATCAGGACATCCTGGTGAATATACCCAACAACCCGGAATGTTGGCGTACTATGAAATTTGTAACAAAGGTATAAACAAATATTAACATTTAGTTTCCTAAAAATATTTACATATAGGTACTTTTTTTAATTTATATTTTAGTTTCTAATGAAAAATGGCAAGTTTCAAGGGATAAAAACAGTGGATTTGACCCATATGCTTATAATGGAAATCAATGGGTTAGTTATGACGACGAAATATCTATTAAGCTGAAGGTAAATAAATATACAATATACATTGGTTTTAGAAAAAAAAAATAATAATAGTTATTAGAGGTGTAACTGATTTTTTTTTAGTCTGAGTACATAGTTAAAGAAGAACTCGGGGGAGCAATGGTTTGGACGATTGATTTGGATGACTTTAACAATATATGTTGTAGAGGATCATATCCATTACTATCTAAAGTGAATGAAGTGTTCAAAAGAATTCCAATTAAATCACCGAATTCAAAATGTAATAAACCAGATTATTCAACAACTCCAGCTTATCAATTTCCTTCAACTACTGAAGGTCAAGGTTTGTATTTTACATTTAAAATATTTATACTGTATAAGCCTAATCATTTTATTTAATAAATTCATGCTATTGATAAATGGCATTCCCACACAAAATATTAAAATAATACCATAGATATTATATATACAATAATTTTACTACACAAATACTTTGAAATGTGGTATAAATAAAAAAAATGTGAATTTTTGGCAAATAACCAATATCAGAAAGTAATACGTAGACGTGAAAAAGTATTTTGTAAATATTATTAAATTTTGGGTTTAATTACATAAAGTTATATATATATATATATATATATATATATTTATATAAAAACAAAATAAAAAATGTAAAATTTATTAATCGTAAAATTAATCGTAATTTTTTTTTATTACAAACTAATTATATTAATAAATCGAAGATTACATCAGTTTAAAAGTAGGAATATATAATAACTTAATTGAATAAATGCATAAGCAACGTACATATATACTATATACCTAAATCAAAATAACGTCTAATAAAAGTAAAATTGTTTTTGTTTTTTTTATTTTGGTTCATAGATTATCCTTGGTTTTATGATTTTATAATTTTACGGTAATACATACCAATAAATAATTTTAATAAATGTGTAAAATATAATATTATATCTTATTCACCAATATACAAGTTCCCATACATGAATTTGAACTTCAGGTAATTGGGAAGAACCGTCTTCATCGACAATTTTATCAACAACGCAACCCACCAGACCAACGACAGTACCAGCTACACGGCCTACACGGCCAACAACAGAATTTATGACCAAACCCCAAACTCGACCTACAACTACAACTACTACTAGTACAACAACTAAAACTCCTCCGAATATTGTAACTACAACCACAATTGGATCAAATGTTGAACTATTCGGTGAAAACGAACAGACCACTCATCGGCCCCCAGTGAACCGTCCTTGGTGGTCTGAGTACCATACCCAAAGACCAGAACAGCAACAGTCGTGTAAACCAGGATCATATCAAGCTTCGAAGGAGAGTTGTCAAAATTATTATATATGTAAAAATGGACGATATAGAAAATATTCATGTAAAATGGGATCCCAATGGAATAGATATGCTAACAAATGTGATTCTCCGAGAAATGCCAACTGCAATGAACCCTGTAAGTTTTTCATTTTATATTAATGAATTATAAATTATTACAAAATTAAAAACTATAGTTAAAATAATATATAGCCAATGCTCAAATTATCGAAACGACTACAACTACAACTGCAACAGAAATGCCTGTAACTACTCCAAAACCTACAACAGTAAGACCAGTCACTACATGGCGACCAACAACAACAGTAAGACAAATTTAGTTAATAAAAAAATTTAACTAGTAAAATGTTCACTAATATATTTTTTTAGACGAAAAGGTATAGGAATTGCGTTGAAGGCCAATATGTTGCGGCAATTGGGGACTGTACTTCATATTTTGTGTGCACTTATGGTTATTACATAAGACACTTTTGTGCATCTGGATTGGCTTGGAACGATCAAAAGAAAATATGTGATTGGAAACATAACGTATATTGCAACTTCGGACGTTCGAATAGTATATACACGTATACCAGTGAGTAAAACCAAATACCATTTGAATAATTCCATAGAGAAAATTAATACATTTAAATAAACTATAGACATTTTGGTCAAGTCTTCAGTTGAATGCCAAGAAGGTCAATTTGCACCTTATCCGGGAGATTGTAACAAATACTTACAATGTTTATGGGGAAAATTTAAGGTTAATTCATGTCCCGCTGGTCTATATTGGAACAAAGTAAGATTTGAATGAAATAAGTACCAGGTATAATTTAATAATTTGATCATGAATACAGAAACTCAGGCTTTGTGACTGGCCATTAAATTCTGGATGTGTAGCGTCTCAAGAAATTAACACTTATCCAACCGAAGAGCCACAAATACCATCATTCCCGAATCTACCAACCACTGCTGAATCAACTACGAAGCCAACAACTCCAAAACCATGGAAACCTACTACTACTACCACTACTATTACTACTACTACCTCGAAACCTACAACAGAAGAAAACTCATGGGCGGTCAACCCTACAACTGAAAGACCTACCACAGAAGATCCGTGGGCTTGGAAACCTACAACTACAACTGCCGCAACGCTCCCCACGACACAATCCAATTATCATTTAACAGGTAACTTAAGATTAAATTATAATATGTGATATATATTATATCCTGTCTTGTAAAGTATTCGAATAAAAGTATTTTAATACTTTTTTTTATTTGAATACTATTGTAAATACATTAAAAAAATATATATTCGAATACGTATTCTGAATATTTTTTTTTTAGTATTTGTATTGTATATTTAAATACTTAATTCGGAAAAAAAATTGTTTGTGTTAATAAATTATAATCCTGGCTATTTGTCATTAAAAATATAAAATGTAGTATTAGCACGAAAAACCTGATAAATCGTGATAGTGATTTGTTATTGCTAGTGTAGATAATATTCCAATTATCAGTATTCGGAGAAAATTTTGAATTATTTGTCTAAAAGTCCAACAAAGAATTTAACTTTTTTGGATTATAATCCTCTTAAAAAAAAAAAGTTTTTTAAAATACAACATGTCTTTACCAAGTAGTGCTCCAATATAACGTATATTTGTGAGTACAGTTATAACCAAAAAACGAGGGAAAATGACTGATGCAAATTTTGAAAAAGTAATGATGATTAAAGGTAAATGATTTTTAAGTTACTTTATTAGCGTATAATTATTATTTAAAATATAATAAAGAAAAGAATTATAAATTATTGTACCTATAACTTTAAAATGTAAAAAAAAATATATTAAAAAAATTAAAAAATAGCATTCTTAAATTATTCGAATAATTTTTCGAGTATTCCAGAATGTATTATAAATTTATTTATTGAAAATTATTCGAATACGTATAACGAATACAAAATAAAAGTATTTTTTACAAGACTGATTATATTTTATATCATATGATATATGTTAATGTGTTACGATTTTTATTTGGTTTTTTTAGGACAGTACAAAGTTGTCTGTTATTTCACTAACTGGGCATGGTATCGACCTTCACCTGGCAAATTTTTCCCGGAAGACACAGATCCAAATTTGTGTACTCATGTAGTTTACGGTTTTGCGACTTTAGATTATACAGACTTGGTAATTAGGGTATTCGACTCATGGGCAGATATAGATAATGGTATGTGTATATTTTTAATTAATAAAAAATAAAAATAAAAAACTAGGTAATATAAATTACGTTGTTCAGGTTTCTATGAACGTGTAGTAGCACTTACACGTAGAGGTGTTAAGGTGTCTATTGGATTAGGTGGATGGAATGATTCGGCTGGTGATAAATACAGTCGTTTGGTTAATAATCGTTCAAGTCGCAAAAAGTTTATTAACAACTTATTGAGCTTTATGCAAAAATACGGTTTTGAAGGTCTTGATGTAGATTGGGAATATCCCAAGTGCTGGCAGGTAATATATTTAATTTAAATAAAATTTAATTCTGTGGAAAATCTATAATGTTCATAAACCAAAAACTATAGACCAACTGTAATCAAGGACCGGATTCCGATAAAAATGCATTCTCGAATTTCTTGATTGAGCTGAAACAAGCATTTAAACCGTATGGTTATTTGTTATCAGCTGCCGTTTCTCCCAGTAAAGTTGTAATCGATTCAGGTAAATACATTTATAAACTTAATAGTTTTTTAATGAATCACATTTAATAGAAAATTGTATTAGGTTATGACGTGCCCGTATTAAATCAGTACTTAGATTGGATCGGCGTGATGGCATATGATTACCATGGTCAATGGGATAAGAAAACTGGTCATGTTGCACCTATTTATCATCATCCTGAAGACGATATTGAGTATTTCAACTTGGTACATAAAATATTTGACCAGTTATTAACGTACATAATTATAATAAATAATAATATAATATTAATGGATACTTTTTAAAGAACTACACTGTCAACTATTGGATAGAAAAAGGCGCAAACAGTCGAAAAATTGTACTTGGCTTACCACTTTATGGTCAATCATTTACTCTGTCTAATCCTAAAATACATGGACTGAACGCACCGTCGTCTGGTGCGGGAAAAGCTGGGCCATTTACTCGATCTGCTGGATTTATGGCTTATTATGAGGTAAACAGCTCTTCTAAAGACAAAACTTAAATTTTGTATTGAATTATTTTTTTTACATAGATTTGTCGAGAACTTGCCACTGAAAAATGGACTATTGTGCAAGATACACAAAACAGAATGGGCCCGTACGCATATAAAGATAACCAATGGGTTGGATTCGATGATGTCAAAGCCATAAAACAAAAGGTAGGTGAAACTATCTAGTTTGAAAGTATATATTTTAATTGTATTATACATTCTAGGCAGAGTACGTGAAATCAATGAACTTAGGAGGTGCAATGGTATGGGCTTTAGATTTGGATGATTACCGGAACGAATGTGGTCAAGGAAACTATCCTCTACTCAGTACTGTCATGAAAACGTTAGGGCAGAAACACGGTAAGAACAAACGTGAATATTTTAAAATACACAATTCTAATAATTTTCACAACATACTATTGTAATGAAAAAAACTTGTGAAAACTTGTTATCAGGTTATCCTAATACAACTCCAATTTCATCAAATAATAAACCGACTACATTAATAACTACTTCATCGTCACCTTACTACAATGTTTCGACAACCGAAATGTCTACGATGACAATGTTACCAACGAGACCAACAAAACCTTCGCACACGAGACCGACGACGACGACACCTATGATTACAACGACTACCACTGCGACGTCAACAACGATAAGACCAGTTTTCTCGGAATACTTTAAAGTGGTATGCTATTTCACCAATTGGGCATGGTACAGGTTTGTAGTTTGAATTCAAATAATAATTTATATATATATATAATATGTACACCTGGTATTTATCAGATTACACAATTGTAATGTTATTCAGTTATTTTATTTTGTCATTTTTAGACATAGCGGCGGAAAATATTTACCCAGCGATATTGACCCTTCATTATGTACTCATATCATTTATGGATTTGCAGTGTTAGACAATGATCACTTAACTATAAAGGCACATGACACGTGGGCGGATTTCGACAACTGTATGTTGAAATAAAAATTGTTGTAAAATAATAAAAAATTGCCGTTAATACCTACACCTTCCTTATTGTGTTTGTAGTTTTTTATCGAAAAGTGACGGCACTCAAGAAATTTGGTGTTAAGGTATTGTTGGCAATCGGTGGTTGGAACGATTCAGCTGGTAGTAAATATAGTGAGTTAGTCAATAACCCATTGGCCAGAAAAAAATTTGTGGAGCACGTTGTGATTTATCTGAAAGAAAACGAGTTTGATGGACTTGATTTCGACTGGGAGTATCCAAAGTGCTGGCAGGTAATTAATCAGATAATGATACCGACTATTGGTGATTGTCAGGCGGGTAAATTAACGTGTAACGAAATGATTTTTGAACAGGTGGACTGCAAGCGTGGCCCGCAGAGTGACAAAGAAGGTTTTTCAAACTTATTATTGGAATTACGGAAGGCATTCGACAAAGAAAAGTTCCTACTATCGGCAGCCGTATCGCCCAACAAAGTTGTTATAGACGCTGGTATGTAAACAAATAGTAAACATGCAAAATTTGTATTAAACTAAAATCTTTATTTTAATAAAATTCTTTCATATTAACTTGTTTCTTAATTAGGTTACGATGTACCTTTACTTTCCAAAACATTGGATTGGATATCTGTAATGGCGTACGACTACCACGGACAATGGGACAAAATAACCGGGCACGTAGCGCCTATGTATTCTCACCCCGATGACTTTGACATGACTTATAATGCAGTAATTGTTTTTTTTTCATTTATCATTTTATATTATTATACACCTAATATAGTAGGCATTATGTATCCATATCCGTCATATAATTATAAAACATTGCTTTCAGAACTTCACTTTATACTATTGGGTGAGTAAAGGCGCTGACCCACGGAAACTCATAATGGGTATGCCCATGTATGGCCAATCGTTTTCGTTGTCTTCTAGTAAGAACAACGATTTGAACGCGCCGTCGTACGGTGGCGGAGAAGCAGGAGAAGCCACTCGGTCCAGAGGATTTCTGTCGTATTATGAAGTATGTGCACCTTAAAATATATTTTAGTGTCGCTTTTCAACGTATTTGTCACATTATTATCCGTCATTGTATGTATTTATAGATCTGCAATAAAGTGTTGAATCGGGATTGGCAATTGATCCAAGACCCATTGGGTCGGATGGGCCCATACGCCTACAAAGGTAACCAATGGGTGTCGTTCGACGACCAAGACATGATCAGATTTAAATCAGAATTTGTCGTGCGCAATGACCTCGGTGGCGCAATGATATGGGCGCTGGATTTGGATGATTTTAAGTGAGTTGAATGCGCATAGTTCCCCCATATATTGTTATACTATAATATACCTAGTTAGTAAGTACGCAGTTTTGCAATACATTTTGAAATGTCCGGCATGGTACCGATTTATTTAGGAACGTATGTGGATGCGAAACGTATCCACTACTGAAAACAATCAACAGAGTACTTGGGAGGTTACCGGGTCCTGGTCCGGACTGTTATTTAGACCAAGAGAGAAATGATCTAGACGGTGTCGTAATAGATAACAGTGACGTGGAATACACCAAGGAAGACGGCCGAACGGAACAGTGTACCGAACCGCTGTTGAAAGGGCACTCGACAGATTGTAACAAATACGTCATTTGCGAATTTGGGACGTTGCTCGAACAGACATGTCCGTCCGAATTATATTTCAATAAGGTAAGAGGAGATATAAAACTATAACTCATAATTAAGACCGTGGAGTGATATGGGGAATAATCAAGACAGGACACACTTCGGATCATGCATAGGTGGAGGTAAAGGATATAGGGTAACGGTAACATTAAAAATAAACACAAAAAAAAACGTTTCTGTGTAGATATATCTTTACTGAGGGACTTGAATATGAAAAACAATTTTTTTTAATCAGCTCAAAATTCAAACTCTCTTATATAAATTTAAAACTTAGTGTTTTCGTTATCAATATTTCTTTTAATACGTCCTTCCGGAAAAGAGTCTTTATCAACAAAAATCTCCTCCCCAACTAAAATTTTCGAGAACTTTTTTTAATCCCACCCACTTTAAATGCAGACCATCGATCTGACGCAATTTATTATTTTCAGGTAAACATGTTATGTGATTGGCCCGATAATGTCAACTGTACTGAAAAGAAACGGTCACAAAGGCAACTATTACTTCATTGATGTGGATTTTTTAAGTGTACAGGTACAAGACGGTGGCATTTATTAGTTTGACGTGATCGTTTATAACATTTTTTGATAAATTGTGATGATCATTGTGCAGACCTATCTATAGATCCTCCAAGTCCATTCATATTTTTCCCAATCGTTGACGTAGGTATATCATAACACTAATTATCAACGTGTAATGTACGAGTAATGTATGTTATTCTTAGTTGTTCAATTTTTATAGATAATCGAAATCATTGTAAATATTTTTAGTTTTAATCACGATTTATTCATATTGAAACGTGGTTTTAATTACTATTTGTAAATTGTTATACGAAGAAATATGTCAATTAACTATTTATTATAATCAAAATTAATATTTATAACATATAAGTATCTATTACTACAAAATTTAAAGAAAAACTTTTACGAATATAACAATTATTATTATTTTTTTTTATAAAAATTGATAATGTAATAAGTATTATTGTCTGTATTGTCTTTCGAGTTCTTGACTGATTATTAGATTTATCCTTTTGGTAAACGTACATAATATGTTAATTTATCATAAATATGTTTTCCTTTAATTATAAATTTATATATATTTAATTTGTATAATATAATCGTATTTGTTTGTACCTCAACTATAAGGTTTGAGTTGAGTTTTTATAAACATTTTTTTTTACACTATACTATATGCTAGAATGTATAAGGGTGGTCGTAGCTAGGTGTTGAAAATAATTGTTAAATATTTGAATTCGCGAGCTCGGAATTTTGTTAGGTAAATTGTAAAAATAATTTAAATTTTAGCATGATAAATCAACCCTTTCACGTGTCTCTAAGAGGTTGAAGTTTGTAACAAAGGCATGATTTTTACGTTAATTTTTTAAAATTTTTAATACAAACAATAAATCAAAAACTTTATTACTGTAGGTAATCTTTTCTACAATAATAAAGAATTTGATATATTTTTTGTACGTTAAAAATTAAAAAAATAAACGTAAAAAATCTAAAAAACAACCTTTTTTTACATACATTAATCCTATTGAGGCACGTTAAGGGATTGACTTATCATACCCAAAATGTACAAAAATTATTTTCACAATGTACCTAATAAAATCCTGAGCCTGCGTTACAAAATTATTTAATTAATTAATTATTTAAGTTCAAAAATAAGGACCACCTTGGTAAATAATATAATATAAATGGTAAACAATAATTTACGAATGTAAATATAATTAAATTCGCCCCACTTATTTGAATCAGCAAGATACATAATTACTAAGATACCTTAATTGTATAGTAAATTGTAATATTAAATATTATATCGTTTTGAATAATGTTCATATTGCCTAGGGAATTTTAAACATAGGCAAACTGCAATACATTAAAGTTAGTTTATATGTATTTTAAATAGTCTGTTTCAAACTACATAAGTTTCTTAGAAAATATTAAAATATTATCAAAATATATTATGAATGATCTATAGGTTCATAGTTGTCAACGGATAAAATGATACAGTAACATAAATTAATTTGAGTACATTATAATGGTACAGTGCAGTCATAAGACTGTTTAGTGTACCTTCAACTGTCAAGTATGCTTCATATTTAGTAGAAGTGATGGGTAACGGGAGATTGTTTTACTAATATTATTATTACTTAAATCCTGATGGGTTTCTTCAACTAACGCTAGCACCGTCTTAATACTTTTAGAACTAGTTACCCAAAAAAAAATTAATTTTTTATTCCTGAAGAAACTCATAAATTATAACGTTAATAGCAATTCTTCAGTAAATCTATGGGTTTCGACTAAATCGGACGAAGTAGGTGGGCCAACTTCAAACTTTGAAAGCTCGCATCTGAACTTGCGGCGATTCGAAAATTTCTGGGAGTGAACCCACAAATTAATACGAAGATTTTGAAATGAGTTTCGATAAAATCGGACGAAGTAGGTGGACTACCTGAAGTTGGTCCACCCGTATGTGGAGGGCATAAATGCTACTCGCAAATTCTGTGAGTAGATTCGCAAATTCTCACAAATAATTCGTAAAATTTTGACACCGGTTTCAAAGAAATCGGACGAAGTGGATGGGCCAACCTCGTGGTTGTTAATAATTTAACACGATATTCATTATAAGTTGCATTTCATGTCAACAGAAAAAAGTCCGAAAATGATCTACGAGAGTCATATGTTTGAGCGTGAATTCGATTGCACATTTGAGTGCGTTATGCTTACGGTTCCTTAAGCCAGGTAGATAAGTTACACAGCTGAAACAGTGGTGTTCTCAGGAATTTCCAACAGGAGGGAGTTGAGAGTAATTTCTAAAAAATATGTGAGGGGCTATCAGCGTAAATCCCTCTAGTTATGAAATTTAAAATTTTTTTAGATTCTGAATAGAGCGTATAATGTTGTATTGGTTTTACAACGATGTTTATTTTTTTTTTTTATGTGAACACTTTTTTGATCAGAAATCTTACTCCGATTATCAAGTATAGCACCTTTTCTGAAAGGAAATGTTCCCTGGGTGGTACTTTAAAGAGGACATTTTTTGAAAATCTCATTAATATTCGATAATGAGGAAAACCTAGTTCTTTAGATTAAAAAAAGTTGAAAGATTAAAAATAAGTCTGTCATTGGTAACCGTTTTTATTTATTTTTTGTTACTATTAAGTTTTTATTATTTTAATATTTTTTAAACAATCATTGTTGTCACGGAAACGCGCATTGTTGTAATTATTTTACCATAATATGACAGTATATATTGTTGACAAAGAAACACTACCAACTAAACTCAGCTCAGAATCATTTTTTCGTTAGCAATGAGTTATCGTTGCTTACAGATATACATTAAATTCTCGTCTGTATCCTATCTTCCCAACTTCCCACCTACAACAGTGTCTGCGCCCAATTTCTGTTAGAAAAAGTGTTTACAAAAAAAAAAAAAAAAAATAATAATTATAAACATTTTTGTAAAATCAATATATTAACCTTAACTCAGAATCTAAAAAAATAATAATCTAAAATTCAATGCACTTTTTATTTTTAATAATTTATCAATAATATTTTGATATAAACAAATATATTTATACTGTGAATTTTCACATCCGTTACAAATTTAAAACGAATTTATTACAAAAATAAAAAGGCCAATGGGGGGGGGGAGTTAAATCCCATGAACCTCCCTGAGTATGCCCATGAGCACAAATACGCGGGAGGGGAGGGTTAGGTGGTATGCCACGTCAATCTAAATCTTTCTGACAAATTCTATTATCGACAAAATACAGTTCTGACAAAGTACGTTTCTAACAAAATACGATCCCTATAAAATATTTTCTCAAAAAAATACGTTTCCGACTAAATGTTTTCCAATATTCTACGTGCCTCCGTATTAAATCATATTTACATACAGAGTGATTCAAAACTTATATACAGCCATTTTATTTTGTAAATATTCAAAATAGAGAAAACTATAATATAATACAATAGTTTTTCGATTTATAATCATCTGTTAATAATTTGTACATCTTTTTTAACTGTCTTTTTTTTGGTGGGCGGGGGTGTGGGTCGATGGTCAACTTTTGAAATTCAATTGTGAAACTGTGTTCAAAAATCAATAAATAGACGGAGTGTTAGTTAAAAATTTATTTGGTATTAATATTTTTGATTTTCACCAACTCGTTGACGAGATGTTCGACTTTTTAGTTTCGGTAGGGGGAGAGCAGTGGAACACTATACGCTTGTGTGGTGGCACGGCACGGCATGCGGCATTTGAACAATAAAAAGGAAAAATTACAAATTATCTATTTTAGATTTTTATAAATCGAAAAATGTTTATATTATACATTTTTTTCCATTTTGAATATTAACAATATTATGTTAAAATTGCTTAATTTTGAATTACTCTGTAGATATATACATATAATAAAACCCGCTCAAATATATACGGCTATTGCAGGATAAATGTATATATTCGCGTTCGACGGAAAACGTTAATCGTAATTGAATATTAATGCGTATGCTATTATTGTTGTACACGTATTATATATGCAAATACGATTGCATATTTTATTATAATAGCCATTGACCGTACACTAGTTATGCAATAACATTAGGTATATGATAATAACCTACAATAATCTTCATCGTGATTGCATACACACGTAAATTAATGCAATAACGTTGCCAAATAACGCATAACGCTGGAGTTCACGTATTTTGTATGCATTTTAATAATTAATTTATGTCTATGGATACGATCAAGTCGCAATAATGTCGCACCTACGTTAAAAACAATAACGATATACATGTACGGAAATAAAGATATTTGTTTGTTCTAGCCCCGCCATTCATATAACAACAAATACGTCGTATAAATATCAAATAATTCGACGAAAAATACGTACCATTACTATTAGTTGTACCATAAGTGTTTATCACAAATAATTAACAATATTATAAACCGATATAGAAAACCACGAGTTTATTTATTGATATTTATTTATCTAGTAATTCGACGGTGTATTGATGCAACATCACAGGAATCACGGAAAGCATAAACATCCGTATACATTTTTTAATATTATATCGATATATCCTCAAATTATTTGATTAATCAAAGTATCAATAAATAAACTCATTATTTTCTATATAGGTTTATTATATTATTATATTATTGATCGTTTATGATAAGCACCTACGAAAGGCATGTAATAGCATTGGTACGTATTTTCCGTCGAATTATTTTATATTTATACGATGCATTTATTGTTATACGGATGGCGGGGTGATAATAAATCTGAATAGCGGGGCTATAAAGTTTTCACTCGCCGCGGCAGGGCTATAACAAACCAGTACCAGTATGTGTAATTCATATTTTAAACAAAATAATAATTTAAAGGTATATAATATGTACAGTGTAACAAGAATATTTAAAAAAAGACATCCCAAGATAATGGATACCGGTGCAGCCACTATTTTAGGTAATTTGATGTATAAAAGCATGTATCGTAAGCAATGGTTAATCGTTGCTTACGAAAAAACGATTCTGAGCGGAGTTCATTTGACAGTGATGCTTTGTCACCAATATATTTGCCACATTATAGTAAAGTAATTAAATAGGTTCTATATAATATTTTCTTTAATAATATTTGTTTAATGTTGTACCGATTTTCCCTGGTTTTATACGTTTTTCCAGGTTTTCCCATGTTTTTTTTTTCAATTGTTCACATTTGCTGAGAGAACTCCGGACAAAATTGAAAAACGACCTTTCTAAAATACCTTCCCAATGAAATTTCTTTTCAGAAAAATTGCTATGATTATAAGTTGGAGCAAAATTGCTGGTAGAGAAGTTGTTCACAAAAAAAAAAAAACGTCTTTGTAAAATCATAATCATTTTTCGATCCACTCAGAATATAAAATGTGAAACCTTTTTTTCCATTGAATATTTTTATTTTATTTTTTTCTGTAATAAGTACTAGAGTTCCGTACTACAATTTGCATGTTTTATAATTTTTATTTTATTACTTTTCAACTAAAAATATATTTTTTTTTTTTGGAAACCTAAATAACCTACGTAAAAGAACTTACTAAGTACTATAACTATACTACAACTAGTAACTACATTCTGTGTTTGACTTTCCGTTGTCGTTTAGCTTTAGCTAAATACATAGTATTACGTACCAATCTATTTGGATTTAAATTCTAGAATTTAGGAAAGTATATTTTTTCATATTATAATTTACACCTATTTAAATAACTACAGCTTTTATTAATTTGTTATTATTTATGAGTTTATAATTTATATTGGATAATATTTACAAATGTACATATACTTTACAGTCCCGGCTCCTCTAATTTTAAAATATGAAATTCTTCTAAGTATCCCATTAGTATTGGATAGTATAGAAAAAAAGTACTTAACCTAACCTGTACAGTATAGGTAATGATATTTAGGTGGACATATGTATATACATTTTTTGAAATAAATCAAATAAAATTTAATTCCAATTATTTTTTAAATACTTACAATTATGCTATTTTTGTTAATGTACAAAATAAATATGCAAATGCTACAAGTCCTCCGCCCTATTTATAAGTAATACGTTTGGAGAAACTGAGGACGAAAACGCATCGTAATAGTATTTATTAATAGTTATACTGTCCTCTTAATGGAACAACTTTTTATGTTGACCTTCATAAGTTATGGGCTTATGGCAAACAAAATACATGATATGCCTAGAAGTCGGACGGGTTTGATTTCTATCGTCACCGCGCAATTATGAAAATCCACTGGTTATATTGATTAAGTGCGATAAAATTCAATTACATCAACAATTAATTAATTAATACTCATCAAACCAGTAACTGTGAAATAAATAGCCTATTAATAATTGCTTATAATAATACTAATAATAACCTAATAGGGGGATAAGGATAATTTTTAAGAACTATTATTATTAACCTACTCTTTTTTTTATAACATTAAACATATAATAGACTCGTAATATACAGGATGATTTCTTAACCATGTTGACTGCATTTTTATAGTTAAATTATGAATAAATTCAAATTCGGATTTTTAGAATTTGTAAGTGCAGTTAACGATGATACCTTTGCATACTTTAAAGTTTATACAAATAGTTTTAACTGAATTAAACTAAAAAACAAAATTTAAATAATAATAGAATTGTTTTCGGAAATTGTCCTGTACTTTCTCCGTGTTTTTCGGTTTTACTCAACTATTTAAAAACTAAAAAGAAAATCAAAAAACAACATTCTTGTTCATTATCTAGAACAAAAATGAAACAAAAAATATCTCTTGTCGTTTTTCTATCGGATCCATATTTATGGTAGAAAAATATATTCTTATGAAATAATGATATCGTTGCGCCGTAATTTGAAAAATATTGTATTTTAGTTTTTCTTAATTATTATGAAAATTACTTAAGATATTAAAAAAAACGAACTTTAATCCAGTGGTTAGATACTAAAAAGAACAAAATTGATCTCTTTCATTTTCTCTTTTCAATTGGAGCAATATGTCTGGTATAAAATAAAAAGTCGGAAAAACTTGGGTGTAGCAACAGCTACGATTAAAGCAATCTACTAAACACCATACGTCTATATTTAGTACCGACATTTAAAAATACGACATTCTTCGTGCCATTAACCCATGGTACAAATATTCCCCTTCCCTATGGTGGCCTTCCCCCAGGCTACTGTAAGTAGTGAGTTGTGAAACTTTGAAGCTTCTGTATCCAATTAAATTCATAATTTGATAAAATATGTTTTGATAAATTAAAATATTATATTACGATTTACGGACGTGACGGTGGAAACGAGTGATATAGACGAAGGACGAATACTAACCAGTTTAAACCGGTAAAATGATCTTTAAATAACTAATCCTAACCGTATGCTTTCCAAACGTTTGCTGGCAATAAGGTACACTGGATCGGAGGGAATGTGGATAATATTATGCGCGCGATCAAAACAACCGGATCCGTACGTAACAGTTCGTGTCGGGCCCACTCGCGACTCGCTTGTGCGCACATCGCCGCACGGAATGTGATACCGTCACCGGCGAAAACAATAAATTAAAATAATATCATTTAGACACGACAGTGAGCGACTTGTATGCCTTGTATTGACGATAAAATGGATTACGAAAGTGTACCGTTACTGGTGAACCGTTACAGGACACCGGTCGTCGACAGTTACCAGAGTCTGCAGGTGAGTAGTACCATTGATTGTATGATTGGATTATAATATTTTATTGTTGTATAGGATTATTATGTTCACTGGTGGTAAGTACTTAGACAATATTATATTATATGAGACGGGCGTGTTAATGTTCTTCTGGGCCGCATTCCGCATTATACTTAAAGGACCCGAAACTGCGTAGGTACGTCAAGTGGCATAAACAGTTGAATGATGATCAATAATTCTGTTGTATAGGTATTGAAACCTATATACTAACTATGAGCAGTGTTTACTGCCAGATCCGTGGCGGTAAATAACCGCAGGTACCTTCAATACATTACAGGATTTTAAAGTCATTTAGATTAGGTAATATTTTATTATCCAAGAATAATTTGTGTTCGTTCGAAAATACTGTCCGTTTTCAAATAGGTTAATGTAATAAATAATAACATGTATCTAATATGATAGATATTACCTACGCCATGGGCGCCGGGTTTTTCAATTTTCATGAGGTGCCCAAAATCCTAAAATTATAACTTGTAATCAAAATAAAAAAAAAAAATCAACAGAGCATTAGTCCTTTACTGATTTTATTTTTGTATTTTGGGAGGGAGGCGATGAGGCGTCATCGACCAGAGGCGGTAAACTTTTTTTTTTGGAGGTCTTCAAATAGACAGTAACTTTTTTTTACCCATCACCAAAAAATATGCCCAGAAGTGTAAGTTTTCTTAATTATGCCTAAGGTTGGTAAAACTATAAATGCCTCTCTGCCAAAATCCTAAAAATAATGAAGACTAAGTACTAATTATATCTACTAATAACAAATTATATTTTTAAATAAATAGGAAATATCATTATTTTTGTCCATACAGAATTTAATAATAGTTTAAAATAGTTTAAAATAAAAAGTTGTATAATATAAGTATATATTTTTTCATTTTTGAATAAATCTCAAACGAATTTTGTCTCACTTTGGTCGTATTAATAAATTTGTCAATGTTTATTTTAGGCTCTGAGTGGAGCGAAGAAGCTTATGGTTTTACAAAGATGGTTTTTTTTTTTTTTATCTGTTTCCAACTTTTCCACCAAAAGACTTGCTCAGAGTAGCACCTTTCTGAGAAAAAATCGATGTGGGGAGGTACTTTAGGAAGATTATTTTTTGATTTTCTCAGGAGTTTTCCCAATAAATAGTAAATACCGAGAAAAAACGGGGTAAAATCGGTACAATAATTAAACAAATATTATTAAAGAAAATATACAATACCTATTTAATTATTTTACCATAATATGACATTTATATTGTTGACAAAGCATCAACTGAACTGTGCTCAGAATTGTTTTTTCGTTAACAATGGTTAATCGTTGCTTACAGATATACATTAAATTACCTATAATAGTGGCTGCACTTGTCTCCATTATCCTAGGACGTCTTTTTCTTTTTCTTTTATGTGCATGTAATATCACTATATTGTTAAGTCCTATTTGTGTTATTGTGACCTTTTTAAACGCCGAAGAGCAGAAAAAGAACGCTCAGCTGTATACGATGAAACTGGTATGGTTAAAATAATTTTTGAAAACTTATATTTGCCTTTTCTAGATATGGTAACATTTTTTAACCATTTGAACCACTTAAGAGCTTTTTATACAAATTTTAATTTTGTGGGTCATTTTTATTTATTAGATACTCTGTGAATAAAATTGTTAAACTAAACAAAAATATTTGACAATTGAACAGGAGGTTAACTTTTGTGAGGGTACTAAAACTTAATATGCTTCCTAAAGCATAAAAACATCGATTTCCCATATTATATTATACAGATAAGGATAGGGTCATGAGCAATGTATCTTCGTTTGACCACCTATACCCGACCTAATATTATGGAATATAATAAAATTACTGAGTGTGAAGACACAAACTTCAAAATAGATTAACCTCGTATTTATTTATTAAAAATAACGATTATACCTTAGAATTGTATTCATATTTATGATATTATATTTTATTAACGGCTGCTATACAGAAACAAACGCGGTTTGGCTCACGAGCGATTTTTTTGAAAAAAAAATATTTATATTTGAAATGTGTGCACTCTCCGTTGAACATTTAGGTTCTATAGAAAAAAAAGAATAGATTTTCATTCGTGTAGTGTAGTATAAATAGTATATAATAATATTTAAACACATCATGTTCATGACAACTTTGCATTATTATGCCGGATTAAGAATAACTTCGAGTAAAAATTGTAGGTAGTATATTATGAAGTATAAACTAATATTTACATTATAAGTGATACCAATGGGGACGCATAATTATCCGAAAAGTAATTATTCGAAACGTGAAAATTCTGGAATCTGAAAGGTTTGTACCTACCACAATAATTCGGAAAATAAAAATTCTGGAAAGTAAAAATCTGGAACTTAATATTTTTGAAAATATAAAGCCTGGAACAATTATAATCTGGAAAGTAAAAAGACGTCCTAGGATAATGTGGACGGGTGCAGCCATTGTTATAGGTAATTTAATGTATATCTGTTAGCAACAATCAACCATTGCTTATTGATAATAATGATATTAATGCTTTATCAACAATATATATATAGCATATTATGGTAAAATAATTAAATATGCAATATATATTATCTTTAATAATATTTGTTTAGTGTACCAATTTTCTCGTTTTTCCCGGTTTTCCCATGTTTTTTCCCAGTTTTTCATATTTGCTATGAAAAATGAAAAATTACCTCCCTAAAGTATCTCCCTGGTCAAATTTATTTTTATAAATAGTGTCATCCTTTAAAATCGGAGCAAAATGTCTCATAGAAAACAGTGAAGTTGTTCACAGAAAAAAAAAAATAAAAAATAAACAATATTGTAAAACCAAAACTTTCACTCCAATCAGAATCTAAAATTAAATCTTCAATGCATCAATTACATAACAGTCTATACCAAAAAGGTGTCTTGTCGTTTTTTGATTGGAGCAATGTTTTTGATGAAAAAGTTCTTAACAGACAGACAAATATAAAAACAAATTCACGACTAAATTTGGGAACCAATAGTTTTTGTCTATAATATTACAATTCCGAAATTGTATGGTTCGGGTTTTCTTTTTCCAAATTATAGCGGTTGCGCACTGGATACTTTCCGAAATATTAAATTCCAGATTTTTACTTTCCGGGATTGTACGGTCTGGGTATTTACTTTCTGGAAATATACGTTCCGGGTCATAGAGATCCGGGTTTTACATTCCGAATTATAATGGAACGAGCTTTTGAGGGGCTATATTTCCCGGACCGTAATAAAAATAAAAAAGTTGTTATTAGTTAATTTTGTTTTCTGGAGCAAATTACTTGATAAAAACGGATTTTTACATTTATTTCTTATTTAATACTGAAAAATGATAGAGATTAGGGTGGCAAAACGAATTTTTTTTGTTCAATACTGACACTGGTAAAGCCGTACGGGACACTTAGTATTTTTTAAAACAGAAACGAATGTGTCAACATTATGCATTATTATTTATTAACCCGTTCTTAGTTATTTATAAGTGCAGCGCTCACTCGGTTGTTATTTTACTGGTTTTAATTTTTTTAATTTTTTAATTTTATAAATGTATACTTTTTCTTATCTCATCTGGCCACCTGGGGATTTTTCAATAAATAAAATCACTATAAATTAAAAATAATAATATTTGTGCATTAGTTTTTGGTTGAGAAATATTATGAATTATAAGTTCCTCCATATTATTTAACTCTACGCCGTGGATGGAAATAGTTTCACAACGAATACGGTTATAGTATTGGTACCTAATATACATTTTCTGTTATTATATTTCAGGATAATTTTGGTACAAAACAGTCCGAACACCAAAATATTGTATATACATGGACAAACATTAACGTGCATACAAAACAAAATAAAACTAGGAGTTATTACGAGTTTTTGACGCCTTGTTGCTCGAACAATGCAAGAACAAAATTCCGGAAAAAATTATTATTAAAAAACGGTGAGTATATACAAATAAATGACAATTCGTCTTTTATTCCAGTCTATTTCTACGTTCTATGTGATCCATCTGGTTAAGGTTTTTTCCATCCAGTGATTTTTATGTAACTTTATGGGTGTTTTTGTGGGATGATGTTGAACTTCTGATTACTATATTCTCTGATGCTGCAAATGATGTACGTCATAATCCGTTTCAATTGCTTATGGTATGGGGGCTTTCTTTTTCATTACTTATGGTATGGGAATTTTCTTTTCCTATCATCGGAGTAAAGTAAGTTTTCTTTCCACATTTTTCATTTAGGTTGCCCTAAAATAGCTTGACGGCATAACTTGGTAGTCAATCAAATGCTTCAGCTAATTCATTATTTTTTATTTATTATATTTTTATTTCAGTATTTTTTTTCAATAAATTAAAACAAGTTTTAACCCTTAAAAACAGTGTACATTTTAAATTTGATTTTAGGATCTCAAAAACATACAAATAGATATGTCACATCATCAATTACATAAATATAAATAAATACCCTCTCTCAACCTCCTAAATAATGGTTGAATATTAAAACTGATTATACATTTTGGTTCTGCAACCGTTCAAATTCATGATTCGCCATACTTTGGTGTAAAATTTAATGATTACTAGTTTTGGCCAGCTTTTTTTTTGATTTTAAAATACTGTAATATGGTTTTATATTTTGGTATACTGCAAATAAACTTTCAAAATTATGTCTATCTGTTAAGGCCTTCGCACACGCTAGATTTTACTTGCAATAGTTCTGAGCTTGTAGAGTTCTGTCATGCACTTTACACGTAATCAAATATCTGTCACTTTTTTTGCTGGCAATTGTGGTACCGGAGAACTATGGTAATGTATTCTGTCCTAAACTGTGATATTTTTACACTTGATAAATTTTTGTTTATCTGTCTGGAGTAACTAGACAACAAGTAATAGTAACTACTGAATAATTATATAATTTTCTCTTTGTTTTATTGAATTAAAATAGTCCGTGAGTTACTTTAAGTACCATGGCTGCTCAAACCAGAGCGGCAGCGGCAATTGTTGTTTATTTAATATTAGAAGATCGAGAACAATTTTAATTTTCGTGTATCGAAAAATTATGATGTGGCAATGTATCTGCAATAACCTTGTGTATTTCAATCATGTTCTAGAGCAGGGGTGTCCAACCTTTTGTGAAGACTGGCTACATCATGTAAGTAGAAGTTGTTGTGAGCCACATTTATTTTAATATCTAATAATACACTTTATTTATAATTTTATCTTAACGAATAACGAGTAGAAATATTTTTACGAACTATTATATTTTATTTATAATTAGAAGAAAACAATTTTAAAATTACTTATTTCTTACTTTAGTTACCTATATTATTTTCCTGATCGCTATTAGAACCCAATAAAGGTAAAACTTTCATATAATAGTATATACTATTAATTAGTAACTTAAAGTTTATTTAATTTTTATATTTGTAGTTTTATATTAATAAAATAAAATTTGTTCTCATAATATTATACGTAATTAATTGATGATTTTGAAATTGAAGTGAAGGCCACATTAAAATCAATTAATTCAAAAAAAAGCCCGCAAGTCGTGGGTTGGACACCTTTGTTTTAGGGTAATAAATATGGTTAGCCGACAATCAGATTAACAGAGATAGCAACCAGTTAAACCAGATAAGGTTTCGCGGCATTTATACTGTAGATAAAATATTCTGACACTATAATTGGGAACACGGAAAATGATCTCTGCTCCAAGTCATGCGCCAAGTTGCAGTTTTTCTAAAGTGGTTACCATTATCGTGCCCGTGAATATGACATGTAACGGCAGCGTGATTGTACAATCGTTAAGAACCAATGGCTATAACGGTGGATAAGAACAACGGATCGTGAGTGCCAAGGCTCATTTATACTCCCGACTATAGAGTTCACCAGAGTATAAAATTTCAATTTGGAAGTAACTCAGCCGCGTGTTTACACGTCTCTAGTTATCACTGGCAGCTTTGTTCCTAGAGTTCTGGCAAAAAAACTCTAGCGTGTGCGAATCTTTAGGCTTAAGAAGTATATACGATAATGTTTGATCTTAATTTGTTCTATCTCTGTCCATTTAATTTCCTGCAGGACTATTACACTAATACTATACGCCTCTAGTACCTCTATCAGGTATTAGGCTGCACCAGTTTTTAAATACTCGTTATAATCCATATTGAAATGTATTGGTTTTACCATGAAGTATTTTTTGTTTTTTATATGAATAACTTTTTAACTAGTAATTTTGCTCTGATTTTCAGTGATAGCGTTTTTTCTAAAAGGTAATCTGACTGGGTAGGTACTTTGAGGAGGTCATTTTTTGATATCTTCAAGAGTTTTCCCAACTAATAAGAAAAACCGGCAAAAACGTAGGATAAACGGAAAAATAGGTAAAATATTAAACTAACATTATTAAAGAAAATATCGTTCTTTTGTTAGCAATGGTTGATTGTTGGGTGCAAGTATACATTAAACTTCCCATATACTATCTTGCCAACTCCTCACCCACAACAGTGGCCTACCCACACTCGAAGTATGTCCGTATTTTTACTATTATTATTGTTATTTTTCGGTTACAGTGAGCGGTTCGGCCCGACCTGGTGAACTGTTGGCTTTAATGGGATCCAGTGGGGCGGGAAAAACGACGCTGTTGAATTCATTGACTTTCAGGAGTGATAGGACCGTAACAGAGACCGGTGTCAGGACCATCAACGGAGTGCCGGTCAACAGAAAGTTGCTGACTGCTATTTCCGCGTATGTTCAACAACACGAACTCTTCATCGGGACCCTCACCATTTGGGAACACTTGGTTTTCCAGGTGCGATCATCCTTTTCTCCGATTTTTGTTAGTCGAAGACCAAAACTTATTCTTAGTTAACCTTCTAATCTTGTCACTAATCTAAGTGAGCAATCTGCACGGTCCGAGTTTTTAAAGGTGAAATTAAGACTAGAACCAGACCAGATTGATGAAATAAACCATGCAACTAAACTGGGCTAGATAGATTTTTCTCAATTAAAAAAAAATAGGACTGGACAATATTTAATTATATAAAATATTTGTCCAGACAGGGCTGAATCACAGAGGGACTTATTTATTGTTTATATAACACTTTTCATTTTTTTTTACTTTATACGAACACTATTCAGTGCCGGATGGAGAATTCGGCTCACCGAGTTTTAGGATTTTCACCGACCCAGAATTATACAAAATAAATTAAAATGATCAAATTAACATAATCTCAATTCAGAAAAAGTATAATTTTGCATGATTCACCCGATTGTCTTGGTAGCTCGCTAGTTCAAGCATGAATAATTATTTATATAATATGTATAGTTTTTTACACGAGACATCGACGAATAAATAATAGTTTAGTTTTTTTATTTTACGTACTGAATGTAATTAAAACTGTATGAACACTGGCAGTTGACACTCTATTAATATTTAAACCGGACAGTACCTAAATGTATGGATAGATTTGGTTGGACCGTTTTTTCTCAAATAAACTGCTAATTTGAACATTTACACCGAATCGGATCGAACCGTTGTAAATTCCAAAAACAAAAATATCAAAAAGACCGGTCATATACAACTATATATCTGAGAGGCATGTCAATGCCTGAGGTACTTTAATGGACCTATTTGGTAAAATTTTAAAACTGTCACTTTTACAAAATATGTGTTGAAGTATAAAAAACTATCTGAGAAATATCGGTAAAAATTTTTTTTAAAATTATGATTCAAAATTTAAATTTCCGAATTAAATTTCTCCAAGCTTACGGTTTTCTACGTCACGTATATTAATATGAATAGTTTTACACAAATTACTATAGTGTATACGATTTCAGTTTAAACCGAAATAACATAAATCGGTTAAATTCGGTCAAAACCGAAACCGGTCAAGATTGTACTAGGTAAAACGTTTCAGTTACACAATCAAAAATCAAAGTTCAATGTATTCCATAGAACGTTTTGCTTTTTCCAACAGAAAAAAAAAAAATTTATTTTATTCGGATCGCTATTTACAAGGCATGAGAGGTTTTTCTATAAACCATGGTCATGCGCAAGCAAAATAATAAAACTGATAGATCTATTTGTAAAGAATTATTGATTTATTAAGACGTGTAAATTATAAAATATGTAAAAACATTTTTACTAACTACAGTTTGCGAAACGGCACGAGTATAAATAGTTTTGATTTTAATATTTGTGATCTAATTATATTATGTATCACTAAAAACATAGGCAGACACAATATATCTAATTATTCGACATAGGTATATAAAATAGAATTATTTACAATTTTAAGCGTCATGATTTATTCAAATTTTAAATTTATTGACAGGCGTTGGTGCGGATGGACCGTCACATACCGTACGAGAAACGAATAGCCAGAGTTGAACAAGTCATAAAAGATGTGAGTTTCCAAATATTTCATATATTACTATTATAATATCAGTAAAAGTATAAAATATAATTGTTAATTTTTATTATTATTTTTTTTGTTTGGTCTGTGTAGCTATCATTGGAAAAATGCAAAAACTCTATCATAGGTGTAACCGGAGAATTAAAAGGACTATCCGGTGGTGAAATGAAACGCCTCTCATTTGCATCCGAAGTGAGAACGATAGTTATTTAAATACTCAAACCATGAATAACACACAAATCTTAAAGAACTACACATATTGTACGGACCGGGAGTGAATAATAAGTAGCGCTCTCGGATACCAACTACTTCGCGCGCAGTGTATACGGCACCGCGAGTAACTATTTAGACGTAGACACGCTATCTACACCGACCGGACCGGTTACAATAATATTTTGTGTACATATGTAAGATGTAACTGTAGCTCAATCAGAAGTGATTGGGGACGCCCCGTAAATTCTGACGAGCTACGTATTGGTGTGATGAGTATGGGTGTGTGGGTGTGTACATAAATAAACTATGGACATGGTAAATTTATTAAAATAAATGGTAAACGAGTTTAATGGGTAACTAATGTTACTGTATAATTAAAGTACGGCCCTTTTGGCTGAACAACACTAAAACAAAATATACAGAAGACAAATTCACAGCAACACGTATACATAAAAAATTATAACATTACAAGGTAAAAAAATAATAGACACAAAAATTATTGTCTGCTTGGCAAAACTCTTTCACTGCTGTATATTTTATTACATTATTTGAAAATTATTTTCAAAAAAGAACTACTATCCTTGTTCCTCATGTTCTTCATATACGATATCAAAATTCTACTTCAATATTAATTTTTATTAAATATTGTAGGAATATTAATAATTGTAATATTATTTAATATCTTGAATCTATTATAAAATTAATTCAATATTTTGAAAGAATAGAAATGCAAAAGAATATTTCACATGTATCATAATAACTCATAGCCTTTACATTATAATCTCGTTAAACACAGCATATTTTAAATCTATATAGGTTTTGACAGATCCTCCTCTGATATTTTGTGATGAACCCACATCGGGACTTGATTCATTTATGGCACATAACGTTATTGGTATGCTTAAGAATATGGCGTCTAATGGCAAAACGATAATTTGCACCATCCACCAGCCGTCTTCAGAAATCTATTATATGTTTGATCGAATAATGTTGATGGCTAGCGGCCGGACGGCTTTTTTCGGTGTGCCCAACGAAGCGATCACATTTTTCAAAACGTAATGTAATATTTATATTTATAATGTATATTATAGTATTATTCCTTAAATATTTGTATAGAAACTTGATTTAGAATAGTTGTTTTAACAGTAAACAGATATCACAACAAAAACCCTCCATCAACTACATGTAAAAACCACGCTAAGAAAAAATAAACCCAAGTTAGAAAAGTTATGATATTATCAAAAAGTGGCTAAGTATTTTCTTAAATTCATTAGTATAGAAATATAATTATTTGTATTTGATGAAGTACGATGATTTAATACAAACAATTTAACTTAGCTAGGTGTCTACTAATATTTACGACTAAAAATAAAGATATAATGCTGACATAAATATTTACATTCCCATTTTATAATTTATTAATATTACCATTATGCTATTTAAATACATAGGTACTATGAGTAGCCGCCAAACTTAGTTAAATTATTTGTATACTTCATCAAATACAAACAGAAACTATAAACAATTTCTATACGAGTGAATTTAAGAAATTGCTTAGCCTCTTTTTGATATCACTAACTTGAGTTTTTTTTTTCTTAGTGAAGTTTTTACACGTAGTTGATGGATGGTTTTTGTTGCAATATCACTTATTTAATATATTTCACACGTATTATAACTAATATATCTTATTATGAATGTTGCTGGAAAATAATACTATATAGCAAAAAAATTGTTTTTTATTCACTGCAAACAACCACCATCGCAAATAGGTGATAACATGCCTACAACATATTACATATACGTTGTTAAATTGTTGAAAAAAATAGCGTTTCGAGTAAAATCTATACTAATACTTTTACATATTATTCAGGCTGTAATTTTGAAATTTACAAAATTACTTAACATGCTGAATAACCCGTTTAAATTTCAAAACAATCAGTCCATTAGTTTAAGCTACAGAGATTTTGAACCAATTGTCGTAAAATTACACGGGTTAAATAGGAATTGGCCATCTCGTGTAATGTACTTCGGTCGACGTACAAGCTCTTTTTTTTCACTTAGGTCTAAACCGCGACCATGGAACTGGGTATTGTAGCTTTTATAAAATTAATATGTTCAGTCTCAAATCACTGGGCCGACATTTAATTGCTAGGTATTCAACTAGGTAAGAGATTTTAGCTTCGAAATTGATACTACGAGTACTTCGAAATTTATTAAAAATATAATTAATCCCGTTGGCTAATAAATTGCAGGCTTGGCGTCGGTTGTCCAAAGAACCACAACCCAGCTGACTTTTTTGTTCAGCTGTTGGCTATTGTGCCGTCACAAGAGTTACGTTCATGCAAAACAATCGATACGGTATGCGAAGAATACGAATGTTCGTTGTATAAATATAGTGAGATTATATACCAAAAAAAGTTGTTTTCCAGTAAAAAAGTAAGTTGATGTTCGATATATTTGAAGACCTAAACCCGTTAATATTGTGATTTGGTTCTTTTCTGATCCAGCTCTCTTGGAGCAGATTACACTTAGACGGTCTACAAAACATCTCGTCTCCTTACAAGGCCTCGTGGACCGAACAATTATCAGCTGTTTTGTGGCGTTCGTGGCTAAGCGTCAAGAAGGAACCAGCCCTGGTTAGAATTAGGCTTGCTGAAACTATAGTAAACGTGTAATATTGCAGCGGGCCAGACCACAATCACTTGACCTAAATATTCTTTCAGATCGTAGCACTCATGATGAGTTTTTTTTTCTACGACCAGCATCTGGATCAGGATGGCGTGATAAGCATTAATGGAGCCATTTATTTGTGCATAACGGTTATGACTTATCAGAATATGTGGTCTGTTATTAATGTGAGTACTCGTATTTATTTATTTTTTTTTTGGTTTATGCTTAATGATATTAATAATTGTCTAGTTATTAAATAATTTTTGATACATGTATGTATGCAGGTATTCTGTTCAGAACTACCGGTATTTTTGCGAGAGCATCACAATGGCATGTATCGAACGGACGTGTACTTTTTGAGTAAGACTTTGGCTGAGGTACCGTTATTCTTGATTATACCTGTGTTATTTACATCTATACTGTACTATGCAGTAGGACTGAATCCGAAGTTCATACATTTCATCATAGCCATTATACTCATATCGCTCGTCAGTCAGGTGGCCGTTTCGGTGGGTGAGTATAAATCACCCAAATGCGCTGAATATAAATAATTATTTTACGGTATTATTAATTACTCATTTACAATATCGTGTTTTTATGACCTATTAAATCGATTAAGTACGTAATCAGGATGACAGTTGTGATGATTGTCCCAGAAGCGGATTTTAAGGGAACTTTTTTTTTTCCTATAAACTGTTAGCTATATTCTGTAGGTAAGTAACGATAAACCATTTCTAACGAAAAACCGATTATAAGCGGAGTTCAGTTGATAATGATGTTTTGTTAACAATATATATGTCCTATTATGGCAAAATGATTATAAGGAGATTATATATTTTCTTTAATAATAATTGTTTAAAACTGTACTGATATTACCGTTTTTCCCATGTTTTTCTCGATTTTTAACACTTATTGAAAAAACTTTTTGAAAAATGGAAAACTGACCTCCTTAAAGTACCTTCCTAGTTAGATTTTCTTTTAGAAAAAGTACTATAATTGTAAATCGGAATAAAATAGTTGGTATATAATTTGTTCACAAAAAAAAAATTTATATACTACTAATATATTTCGTATATTCTCCCAATTTTTTTTTCAGTTTTTCACATTCGTTGAGAAAACAGAGATATCGAAAAATTAACTCCCTGTTGTTCCACCCCAACAAAATTTTCTTTTAGAAAAGTTGCTACATTGTATGCATTGTACATCGGAGTAAGATTTTTGTTCGTCAACAGATATAACAGTTGTAAAATCATAAGCTTCTTCGCTCCACTCAGAATTTAAAAGAAAGTTATGTGCAACTTATGATAGGATAATGAATACATTTTATCCTTTATTTGATATATGTCATTATGGTATAGAGCTCAACAAATTTAAAATCGTCTCTCCCCCTTGATGTTTCATCAAAACTTCCACTGCATTGTCCCTGTTAGGAAATAAGAAAGGTAGTAGATAATAGATTAGTAGGCTGAACAAACCAAAAAAACATTTTGCAGTATTCAACCTACTCAATTCCCACTCAATAAATTGCATAGTACAATTTATTCCATAATACTTTAATAGTAATAAACTAATAACTAGTAAGCATGATCTCATGAGGACATCAGGGAGGGAGGAAATGTGTACCAGTTTGGACATGAAATACAGTTAAAACTCTCAAAAGGCATACCCTGGATATCAATTGATTCCTCTGGTTTCAATTGAGGAGTCTGTAGGGGTACACAAAGATAAAAGCATCCTTATCCTTGCTTAACATTCTCAACTTCTGATTTTAAATTAATTCCATTTTTATCAATTCAAACAGTTCAAACCGCTCATAAAACAACTTAAATTCCCAAGTATAAGCTTTGTAAGAAGAAACAATTCAACCCATCGTTCGATGGGTCAACATTGTTCGATACAGTGAAAAAGTCTACTATTTTTGAGGCAAATTCGGCAGTTCAAATTTAACTCAATATGTTTATCAGTACAAGCAACAGATATAAAATCGAAAATATTTAGTTCGAAATAAAAATTGTACGGGTTCATTTTGATTGTTATAGGTTATTTGGTATCGTGTGCAAGCGTGAATTTGAGAGTTGCACTTTTTATGAGTGCCGTGACATATATGCCTTTCATGCTGTGCGGTGGTTTTTTTTTAAATATCGAGTGAGTATAATAATTGAATGTTATAATACTGTGATATGATAATATGTTTAATGATTATGTATGTATTGTTATGTAATGTTATATCACTGATAACTATCAGGTTCGGGCTAAAGAAAGTCAACTGTATTTTCAAAATTACATTATTATTTATTTTCGTATGTTTAACGTTGAATTGGGTTCTTATAAGTTGTCAAACATTTAAACATTATATTTTGTGTGTGGTCAATCATGTCTTTTATTTGTATGTATCATGCATCATTAAGTATTTCTACTTAGTCGAACGGCCACTTCTTTATTTTTTGATTTTCCATTTTGGTAAATATAATATAACCAAAAAATAACAAGAAAATACACATTACCTACAGGTACTATAGGTTGAAGTAATAACAATTAAGTGATTAATAATTAAAATTTACTTATCAATTATCAATATAATATATAGTTTATAACCATATGACAAAATGATAATCTCTGGTTGGTCAACGCTTAAACATATCAAGGAATTAATCAAAGTTATTAGGACATGTTAAATCATGAAATCCATTTTTCTAGTGGTAAAGTTTTCAAAACATTTGAGTCATTTTCTAGCTATTAATTAGATATTTTAATTTTACGAGTTTTTAAGTAATTTTTATTCGGTACTTCTAACAGGAGATTCAATATAAGTCGTCCTTTGTGGTGAAAAAAAAACAATAATAACTGAGCGTAATGTATAGAAACTGTCTATAAGAATTTTAATATTAAATTTTGACGAAAATCATAAATATTACAGCCTTTAAAAACATGTTTACCCGAATTTTGCTCGGAATCGTTTTTTTTCATCAATGATTAAACACTGCGTACAAATCTACATTAAATTTCCCTCTATATCCTAATTTCCCAAAATCTCACCTATAACAGTGGCCAGCCCATCTTGTGAAATATATTTGTCTTTTTATTGTAAGTACTATACGTCTACGAATAATTTGCAAATATTGCTTTTATGCCATTCTGAAATTCGATAAAATGAATGTAGAGGTCAGAGGTGAAAAGATAATGAATTGTTTGTACACAAGTTATTATGTATACTTTGGTAGTCTTTTATAAAGATATAGGTACAAATATAGTTATAGATATAGGTATAGTTATATTTTTTAAACGTGGTATAATTTTCATAATAGTCTTTCGATTTTTGTATTATTGAATCATTTGAATTAATTAAAATTATAGTTTTTATTTCAGTTCTTTTTAGGATACCATTTTTTTACGTTTAATGCTTATAATAATATTGTACCTTTTCCTTATTTATAAATATTATTTGTTTTCAAGATCAATTCCGTCCTACTTCAGATGGCTTAGCATTTTTTCATGGTACAAATATGCAAACGAAGGACTACAAATCAACCAGTGGTCCGATATCGAGTCAATCCAATGCAGCAGTTTAAATACAACGTGTTTGCGTACTGGTGACGATGTCTTGAAGTCAAATAGCTTTGTTTATGTAAAAGCATATTTGTATAAAACATAACTTAAAACAACGACTTAATCTCAATTAGACTTTATTGTACACTAATTCCTATTATTCACATCGTTATGCTAAAGAGAAACAAATGAGGCAAATATCTGAAGGAGCCAGGGGAAGTGGGTGCTTAACACTCATAATTAGCGGTACAATACACAGTGGTCATTTATCGATATATAATGCTTATTATCTCGAAAAATATCTTAAAAAGATAGAGTGTTAAATACATATTGGTGTTAACATTATGATTTCCATCAATTCGTTGACAAGATATTCTAATTTTAAGTTTTGGTAGAGGTCAGTCGTGGAACACAATTTATGTGGTAGTATGCTGCTTGATGTTTAGTTATGCTCCAATACTCTCCCTTTATCTGTACTTAAAAGTGGAATATTTTGTCAACGGGTTAACGGAAATCAAAAATATCATCACTAAAATGTATTTAAACAATCTATTACTCCATATATTTGTGGAATTTGTAATAAAGGTTGCCGTTTGCCATAGCCAAATATATAGTTGTTTTACCCTAAAAAAGCTGTCCTAGGATAATGGGGACGAATGGAGCCAATGTAAGAGTTGAGAAGTTAGAAAGGTAGAAAAGGGAAAATTTAATATATATCTGTAAGCAACGATTAAACATTGCTAACGAAATATACGATTCTGAACGAATTTTAGTTGATAGTGTTGTTTTGTCAATAATATAATATAATGCCATATTATGGTAGAATAATTATATACGCATTAAACATTTTCTTTAATAATATATATTTAATATTGTACTTATTTTCCCGTTTTATCTAAGTTTTTACCCGGTATTTCAATCCTTTTTTTCGTTTTTCCCATTTATTGGGAAAATTCCGAAAAAAATTAAAAAATTACTTTACTTAAATACCATCCCATTCAATTTCTTTCAGAAAACGAGATACACCTGTGAATTGGAGAATAATTTCTGATAGGAAAGTTGTTCTTAGATAAGAGAAATAATAAACATCATGATAAAGTAATACATTCCTCGTTCCACTCAGAATCTAAAATAAAGGCGACAAAATATATTATTTTAAAGCTGCTTGTTTATTATTGTTTCTAAAATAAAAAGAATCTGAAAAAAGTTTATATTTTCCGAGAATCCTAAAGCACAATTATTAGGTACGATTAATTACACATGGTTTTTACATTGATGTTCATCTCAGGGACTGTAACAAAATCGAAGGAAAACCGGAAAAATCGGTACAAAATTAAACAAATATTATAAAAGAAAACATACAAAGCCTATTTAATTATTTTATTATAATATGACATATATATATATATATATATATATTGTTGACAAAGCAGCATTATTAACTGAATTCCGCTCAAAATCGTTTTTTCGCTAGCGATGGTTTATCATTGTTATAGGTATACATTAAATTATTTATAACAGTGGCTGAACCCGACTTCATTATCCTAGAACGTCTTTTTCTTTTTTCACCTGCGATTTCCGATTACCTGCTATTGATGTACACCCATTGTCTACCTTCACAACACCACTCCTATAACACTGGCTAAATCCGTCCTTATTATCCTAGGACAGTTTTTTTTTAATATTGACTTATGCTGGGAATATGGCCACATACATTTTATTATAGGATACAGTCATTTTATATAAAATCGAAAGCAAATATGTTTAATACACATTTTTTTCGTTTTATTATTTTTCAGTCAAATATTATCACGGACATAATTTCTTTGCTTTTATTAATCGTCGGCTTTCGATTCCTGGCGTTCCTGTCTCTCCTAGTCAAAACATCAAGAAATTAAGCAAAAGAAAGTAATATAATTAATATGCATCATAAATAAAGTTGTTTTCGTGTATACATATATTTCATAGGTATTCAAATATCTTTATAGAGCTCACGTTTATTTTGTATTTGTAAATTATAGTTTGAGTTACTTTTTATACATTATACTAACATGTTTAATTTCTTTATTTTTAGTGTTTCGTATATTTATTTTATTTTTATAGTCATCCTATTTTAATGTTACATTAAATCACTGATGTTTATCCCACCGTGGTATGTATTGTAGTATTTTTTTTTATAATAGGAATTTTTTTTAACAACATACTTTTTGTAAATAGCTATGTTATGGTTAAAAATAAAATGCTTGGAAATCGGTACAACTGGGTATTCTGAGGGTGTAAAAAAATAGTCCGCAGAAAAACTTAATGACAACTGAAAACTGTATTAGCTATTATTAAATTAATAAAAAAATTAACAATGAATAGTAATTTAGTTTTTAAATGTTTCAATAAAAATTAACACAATGTAGATAAAATAAATTATGATATATATTCAGCCAGCCTACTAGTTGTCAGCTCAATTCGTGGTAAACTCCGTTTATTTTACTTATTCATCGCTTTCTTCTCCTTCACAATCAGACGGCGTAAATAATCCTGACACTGTAATATACATTTATATCATATAGATAATATAAGCTAAAATATTATATATGTTGTATATATTTTGTTATTCATAGAATTAAGTATTTTAAATTTTAATGATTAAAGTTACGATACATCAGCGTTCTAAAAGTCATGTTAATTATATATATGAAAAAATAAATGCGTCGCTTAGAGTATTACGATAAATGTATTGTGCAACCGATTTTGAATTAAAAATGCATCATCAGTTAAAAAAGTAGAACACAAAATATTCTGGAATCTCCGAAAATTCTTCACCTGAAGTTGCGACACCCACCGTCATCGCATTGTATGGAGCCTAATATGCTGAGGAATGTCACTTACACCTTCTTTCTAACGCAGCCTACGGCTAATACGGTTATACACGATGCGAATTGGCTGACCAATGCCAGTACAGCAGTGAAAAATTACGATGAGCTATGGAGTGTATAAAAGGAAGGAACAAAGTGGTAGGCCTAGATGGAAAATTATATGGATAGAGCATAGGGTTGCGTCGACCTTAATAAGCAGCGTGTTTAATAGCTGTCTCCGAAAGGGAATCTTTCCCGACTGATGGAAAACTGCAAAGATAGTTTTGTTCGGCAGACGGGAGGGCGCAACATCATCGTATCGTCACTATGCCTCCTCAATGACTTGGTTAAGGTGCTGGAGTATTTGCTTGTAGTTAGGGTAGAAGCTGTTATTGAAGAGAAATGGGGACTTGTGTCTAACCAAAAGGCAGATCAACGGACAATATTCTTACAGCGCTATGGGGAGTGCCAGAATACCTATGCGTTATGTTCGCGTGGTGTTTTTTAATACAGCAGGTAAAGTTGACTCACTTTTTTTGTCAAAAAGAGTAATTAAAGTACCTATTTTAGGAAGGGTTCCACATGGGTTGGTTTTAGGCAAATTGTATATTACTATATATTATCAAGTGCTGAGTGAAGAGCTTCCATACGGGGCTCAGCTACTCGGGTATTCGGATCATTTGTAATAATAGTAGATAATCAGTGTATGCAGTATAAACAATCATAGTGTTTATCAGTAGAATTTCAGCTGATCTTCCTGTGTCAAGGTTTTCTGCAAGATTATACCATCTCTCTGTAGCTTGCACTAACTTTTCATATTTGTTTACTATTGGTTTCACAACATTGTGTTGCGCACTACATCTTGTGTTGGACAACTTATTGACAGCAACTCCTATAACTTGCTGTAGAATATTCTGCCTTTGGAGTGATACTGAAAAAAAAATTATAGATACATTCGAGAGTTCCAAAAAAAGTCGCACTGCTAGGATTTATTGCAAAATAGTGAACACAACACAAGTTAAGAGAATAATTTACACAAGGTACAAATAAGATTTTACTGTTAATTTTGAATTGACGGAGATAAATAAGTTAAAGCGTTTACTTAAGGAAATGCCCCCTATATTCAGTGATTTATATTTTCACTATGTTCGCAAAATGCCAAGTTTTATTTAGCTCAGAAAAGTGTAATATCCAGTAAACGATGCAAAATATCATTCCACTTCTTTTTCTTTTTTTCTTATGTTCTCGATCAGCAGCGTCAATTGTTTTATTTTGTTTTAGTTGTGATTCAATTATCTTCCATTTTTCAAAAATAGCTTAATGTTTCTTAGACCCTTCGTGTAGTGACACCTTTGGATTTAATTTCTACCTTTTCTGAAAACCTATTACCAAATTAGATGTTTCTGGTTTGTTTTCATACGTTGTGAAAAGTTTGCGACAAAAAAAAATACAAGCTTCCTTATATGGAGAATAAAACATCCATGTCCATAAAACTTGTTCTTCTCCTGGAGCTTGCTTAAAAACCAATTATTGGTTAACTTACGAGTCTTGCCTTTTGTTTTTTCACCTCTTCTATAAAATGATCAAAATGAATCGTCCTTGTTTTTAAAAACTCCACTGCCATGCTTTATTTTTTCTGATCCATGATTATTAAGTATTGGTACTGGTCAAGTGGTACTTCAAGACCATTTTTAAATTTTCTAGAAGTTTTAACAATAATTGGGAAAAACTTAGAAAAAAAAAAAAAATTTACGAAAATAATGCTTTTATTAAATTAAATTTTTTTGCTTGATGTAATTAATTTTCAAATGTTTGTAGAGTCTTTACATTTGGACAGAAAACTTATATTTGCCTTTTCTAAAAGTGGTAAAATGTTCAAAACATTCACGCCCATTGCACTATTTATAGACATTTTAGTTTTGCGAGTTTTCTACGTATTTTTATTCGTTAGGTTCTCAGTGGATAAGAGTTAGATCAAACAGAAATCCTTGTTTATTTAATAGCAGATTAATTATATTCTACGTAATAATCAATAAGAAAAAGTCGAGTTTAATGCAGTATTTTTTTTTATATTAATTTTAATATTAAATATTGATTAAAATCGTATACCTTACGGCCTTTTGAAACATGTTTAACTGAACTCCACTTAGAATCGTTTTCGTTAGTAATGGTTAATCGTAGCGTACAGATATATCATACATATATATATATATATTAAAGTTCCTTCTATATCCTACCTTACTAAGTTATCGACTACAACAGTGTCCCACCCAATGTGTGAAGTATTTTTGGTTTTTTTTTTCATCTAAAGTTAACTGACGATATTTTAAATGTACTTTACATGGAATATATTTAAAATATGAAGATACAATAAATTAATAATTACTTAACGTATAAACAATAATCAATTAATTGATTGTTTAAGTGCCATAAAAGCTTGAAAATATAGTTTTTTTTAAGCCTATGAGTTATACTGTACTAATTTACATACTATATCGATTACAAAATGCTTCCGCAGTTAGATTGACTAAATCTGAAATATAAAGCATTGATAAACGTTAGCTTCACAGTTCAATTCATGTGGACTATTGTACATATTAATATGTGTCCATTAAATTGTGTGTTATATTTTTGTATAGGTATTTGGGATTTAAATGCTATAGTTATTAAATTTTCTATCATTCCTACTACCTATTCACATCAACATAATAAATAAATATAATTATACCTGTATTCAAACTTAACATTGTTGCTGAGGATACATCGTTCAGGATAGGCAAGTTTATTATTGTTACCCTTCATAGTGTATATTTTATATTAATTGTTTCCTACCGTCGTAGGCTGTAATAAGTAATCTAAGTAATTAGTGGGTATACAATTAGTTGCTTTGTACCCCTTCATTCACCTTATTACAAAGTGGCGCCCAACGTGGGACTCGAACCTACAACCCCGAGATTAAGAGTCTCGTACTCTACCGACTGAGCTAGCCGGGTTGATTTGAATTTCTCAACGTCTTATCCAATTTAAATTGTTGTCGATTGAGGTTTATAAGTTTTTAGCCACAGTCTTTTGATCCTTACTGGTTGTTAACATTTCCGTATTACCAGCGAACATAGTGGTCATTGAATTGTTGTTGGTAGAAATATCGACTGTGTAGAGCAGATAAAGTATAGGTCCAAGGACAATACTTCGTGGTACTCCAGTCGATATATTCCTCCAATTTGTTATCGTTTCATCATGCATGACTCAAAACTATCGCTTAGTCAAGTAAAAATTGAAAAATGCGTACGAGGTGTGCGGCTATTGTTCTCGTAGTTTCATGAGTAGTCCTTTGTGGAAAACATTATCAAAAGCTTAGTACACATCTAGAAATACTCCGCAGCAATACTGTTTTTCTTCGAGTGTCTTGCTAATCACGTTTTTGACTTGATGAACTTGGTCGATAGTTGAATGTTTGTTTCGGAATCTGAATTTATGATAGCGTATAAGGTATTTATTTTCAATAAGTGGTTTTAATCGAACGAGAAGAAGCTTTTTAAAGAGTTTTGATTAATTTGTTAAAATCGATATTGGTCAGTATGAAAGAGCTTGGTGGCTTACCTGATTTCAATAATATAATTATTTTTTCATTGTTTTAGGAAACATTCCGTTTATAGTATATATATATATGTAAAACTTATATTAAATTGACGGAAATTGACCATAAATAAACAAACAATATTGTGTTGCACTTTAAATGAAGTTTTTATTCATTATTATTTAATTATTATAGTATTTTCTATTTTATAATATGCCTGACTTACCTATGAATAAAAAAACGACAAAAAATGTAAAATTATTTGTTTGTCAGTTTTCTTTGAGTTTTTTATTTTTAACAATTATTACATTTTAAAATACCCATTACCGTTACATTCTTTTCTTACTATTTAATCAGATTTATCTGTAGTTAGGAAGATTGGTAATCAATCCTAATAAAATTAAAGAAAAAGTTTTATTTTAAAGAAACTACATTTTCTTTACATATATGAAGAAGAAGATTAATGGCCTTCTTTGGTAGTTTTTTTAGTATGCGAGTACTGATTACACCGAAACCGAGTGCCTTTTTTGGGTTGATATAATTTTTAATTTAATGGGCAACTCGGAGAGATATGAAGTACCATATTTTTTCTCTTGCTACGTTAAATGGTTGGCATTGTACAATATCGAATTCAGAAGCGATATTTTTCGGTTGTAAAACATGGTCAAGGTGTAGAACATACACTTTGACTTTATCATGTTCACTACGTGCCAAAGTCCCGTCTCCTATTCGGATAGGAGGTACACGCAACCAGAAGTTTTTTATACGTCTTGTGGCTATAGTTCTTAAATTCTAAATCAGTTCACGATGTGGAATGTATTTCCGGAAAAAAGAGTAATGTCGATATTTTTGATTTGAAAAAAGTCTTTGAGTTCATGTTTATGCTTGAATAGTCCATTGATATTCTATGTTCTGATCTTTAGGTTCATTTTTTTATTTCTGATTTGAATTATTACATTTAGATTGGTTACTTTCTAATCTATCTAGTCTAATTATGACTCTAACTAATGATAATGCTAGTTAGGACAGATGAAATATTCGTTAAAATGGAGTAATTTTCTTTCTTATCTTCTTTGTTGTTTAGTCGTTACATTGTTACCAAAAGAGTCGTCAAGCTGGTATTCTCTTTTCGCTGATCTCTGCTGAAAACGTTGCACCGCAGAAACCTTTTTTACATTGTACTGCAATAGTGAACAAAAATAAAAATATTGAACAATGAAAATATTACAAATGATAAAACATCTATATAACCTTAATTCACTCAGAATCTTATTACTTTAACAGTGGTTGGTTGTTGCTTTCATAAAAGTTGTCCCATGAAGATATACCACTTGATTATTTCTGGAGATAATAAAGATAATCAAATTCTGATCATTTTTTTTTTTTATTATCCTCAGGGAAGAGGACTACAAATATTCATATTTTAATTTTTTTTATTTTTAAATTTAATATTTTGTTATCTAGGTGATAACCTTACCTACCTTACGTGTTACGCGATAACATGAGTTTTTACACAGATTAATAGAATTTAAAACGGGTGTTACTTAGAAAATATTATTCGGATATAAATGTGTGATACATTATAAATTTTGAAAAAAAAATCTTTGCAGAATGATTATTTCGAAATTATCCGAAAATAATAAAATAAAGTAATTTTTTATTTTTAATAATAAAAAAATATTAATTAAAATATAATTATTTATAGTCTTCTTCCTTGTGATTAATATTAAAAAACAAAGAAAATTGTTATATCCGGAGATATTTAAGAGGTATATCTTCGTAGAACTGCCTGTATAGAAATTAAAGTACTTCAAAAGTAGCAGTTTTTTATTTTTAGTTTATAAATTTATTAAACTTTAATTTTCTATTACATACCTTCAGGCTTCGCCTGAAATAAACTTATGATATAATCCTTCGTCTTTTCTGTGAAAAAAAAATGTATAGTTTGAGACGTTTCGGTTCGGTCGGTCCTGTTTGAGGAGCGACCTGTGTGCCCAGCTGACTACCCGCCTAGTGGGAAGGTCACAATCTAGGACCTAGGTCCGAAGACCGGAGTCCTCGGATTTTGTGAGAAGGAGAGGAAAAAAAAGAGAATTTTAATAAGTAAACACGTGGTTTTCTTAGGAGAATGTATATAATTATTTATTTAATTTACCAATCAAAAGTAAAATTTAGGTTCATATAACAAAAAAAGCCCGGGGCATAAAAACTGTTAAGAAAGAATGGATAATAGGTACGTTACTTATAACATTGTTATGTATATATATATATATATATAGATATAGGCTTATAAACTAAGATTTACAGAAAATGTATATTTTAAATATATATACATCAATATTTGGGCGTCAACCTGTCGTAAATGTTGTCCGGACATAGATAGTGGCATCACGGGGATGTGCAGAACGGGACTTATTATATGTATGGGTAAGGATGAATTCACATCCACGTGTGTGTGTTGATCGATATGGATATTGACAGAGACGGATCCCCACGTGAAACGTTCATGGGCACCTTATGTATTAGGGAGACCTCGGCAGGACTGTGCGGTTGCCAGGTCGCACAGATTACCACCGGGAAGGATAGCGAAAACGCTTTTTGTTCCATTTTGACTGGTCTGTAGTTTCAGTGGCCCTACGGGTGGACCTGCGGGGTACGTCCAAATATGGATCGCGAAATGAGGAAAATCGTATGTATATATCTATTCCTTTTTTAGATATTCACACACGTGAATTAGAAACCTAGCACTTAGAGGGGGTAGAAAATAAGAGAAAACAACAAAATACAGAAGGGTGTTGGCCCATCACACTTAGGATGTGGACCGTGGGGATTAAAAAAATTAGATGGACACATAAATCTAGCTGTTGGATTCCCATAAGTATATCAAAAGGATATAATATACGAAAAAGAAAACATTTTATATGAAACATATTCATACGGAGAAACCTTAATTACCAAGACTTCATTAAAGTGATTTTTTTTTGCTGATATTTTAACATTTACATGCATAAAAATGTATCAATTTAAATTTTTTAAAAATAAACGATATAAACAAAAAAATCCCTAATATAAACATAACTACTCACTAAGTTATAGAACAAACTTTTATCTCACGTAGCTATAATTTAGAAGACATTAACAAAAATATGAAATTTCCTACTTCCCATCCCAAGTAATAATATCTGTATAGTAAAGATGTTTGTGAATATCACAGTTATTTATAGTTCTTTTGAATAAGTAATAAATAAAAGGAAAATTAAAAATGTACATTCCGCCAACAATTTTTGTAAAACTTTTTGATCTTTTTAATTTATCACTTAAGAAATCATTATCTGTTTAAAAGTGTAAAATAATAACTCGATGAATATACAGGATGACCAATCATAGGTAAGACTCATTATTTCGGAGTATTAATTTTTTCTAAACTTTTTTTTTTAAATTAAGAAACCAACTGGTTTAAAATATTCTTCTTCTTCTTCTTCGGGTAAACGGCCGCTAGGACCATCCCGTCAAACATCCCTCCCTCCAGCCATCTCTGTCGGATGCTCGTTCTTTTCAATCTGATCCTCCACCTAAGGCACTTACATCTTTTTTAACCAGATCTTCCCATCTCATACGAGGACTTCCCAAAGGTCTCTTCCCAGCTGGATCCTTCTCTAACACTATACATAGCAAGGGATTCTGACTGCGCCACGCATGTCCAGCCCACTTTAGTCTTCTACTCCTTATTGTCTCCAATATATTTGGTTTCTGGAAAAGTAGTCCTAGTTCATTATTCGTTCTTATCCTCCACTCATTGCTACTGCTATCTTTCATCGGACCATACATCTTCCTTAGAACTTTTCTTTCCCATACTATAGGCTTTCTTTCATCTTATTTCCGTAGTGGCCAAGTTTCCGCCCCGTAAGTTATAACTGGACGCAGTAATGTCATATAGAGCTGTATCTTAAGCTCCCTCGATAGCGATCTTGACCCTAGTGGTTTTGCTAGTCCATAGTACACCCTATTGCCGGCAAGTATCCTCGCTGATATTTCCTTGGCTATCTCATTCTTTTCAGTTATGACTGACCCTAAGTATTTAAACTGCTTGGCTCTGTTGAAAACATAGTTTCTTACATTCAAGGATGGGTACACACCCGCAGTTTCTCGTCTGCCAACGACCATATACTCCGTTTTATTTCGTTTATCTGTAGTCCTATTTTCGCTGCCATTCTTTGTAGACGGTCGAACAGTGATTTCAGTGCGTTTGGTGATTCTTCCATTAATACTAAATCGTCCGCGTACGCTAATAGGCCTATTGATGAGTCCTGTAGTTTCACTCCTTCNACTTTCTCTAGCACTATTAAATAACACCGGTGACATTGAGTCGCCCTGTCTCAGACCTGACTTTACTAATATTGGGTCCGTTTCGCTACTTCCAACTTTGACTTTAATGAATGTCTCCATAATACTTATCTCCACTAACTTTATCAATTTTTGTGGGAAGTTAAATTATCTCATAATGTTAATTAAGCTTTTTCGATGAATACTGTCATATGCTTTCCTGAAATCAATAAAAAGGATATGGATTTCTTTGATTTAAAATATTACTTGTATATTTTTAGTAGTGACACTTTTAATTTTTGTCAACCCATTAACGAAAATTAAGTAATATTTATATCTGCTTAGTATATAAATTGTACCGAAAAAAAAGTTCGACAAAATTGTATTACATTCCGAAATAATAAGTGTTTTTATTGAAGACACATCCGAGAGATTCAAACGTAATTTAATACCTACGGGATGTAGGTTATCAAATGACGTCAAACAATATCAAAGAGAGTCATCAGTAGCCAATGTCTGATATTTGTATTTACTGTAAAAATATCAAGTAAAATAACCTATACTTACTAGAGAGTACTAAAAAATAAAAAAAATATTTATATTAATCATATAAAGTTGTTATTATATTTTAAATAAAATTAAATATATATAATTTTTATTTTTATAGGTGGCCTATACCATTATTCATTAATTTAACAGGTTCCATTAATAATACTGAATACAACAAAAATATTCAGATTTATCATGCAAAAAAAGTTATTTAAGTTAATTTCTAAAGTTAATTTCTGTGAAAAGGTATAGTAAATACGTCTGTTTGTTAAAAAAAAAATCATTATAATATTTTTCAATACTCTAAATATCATATCTCTCTCTATGATTTCAATAATCAGTAGATTTATTTGCAGAAATCTTCCATTCTTCTCTATTATCTGCTTTCCTTTTCATGTCTACATAGGAGTTGCATTCTTGGTCCTTGTTATTTGTATTTTAATATTGGCCTAATCCTATGGTTCTTCCCCTTTATACTTCCTTCCATAATCAGTTTTAACAAACCTACACGTCATATTATATAGTCTATCTATTTGTCTCATGTTCAACTATATTTCTTCATGATAACTTTCTTTCTGGCATTTTTTCTAGAAACCCTTCATTGGTCCATACAACTCATCCTTAAAATTGTTCTATAGCACCGAATTTCAAACATCAGTCTTTTTCGTTCTCTCTCTGTTATTGTTCAGATCACTCATAAAGGGCCATACTACATACACACGTTTTCAATAGATATTTCATTGTTTACAGGCTAATTTTTCTTGATGTAAGTAGAATTTTTTGTTGTTAAAGGCTATTGACTAGAATTGACTGATACATTTTATTATTTCATTCCCATTTCTTCCAACATTGCTGATTGTAATTCCTAGGTATGTAAATTCATCTACTTGATTTACTATTTAGTTTGCTAGTAGTTATATTTGTACTCTGGTTTTTTTTACCCTTCTAAATACGAGCACTCTTGTCTTTTAAACATTTATTTTCATGTGCAAATCTTTAATTTATAATCTATTCATGGTTTTGATAAGTAGATTCAAATCTTCAAATTAATGGTATTTCATCGACGAAACGCAACATACTTGTTTTCCGACCGTTAATCATTAATGGGCTTTTACTGACCAAAGAACTTCTTCACCGTCATATGTGCTTCATCTCTTCTTCCTGCTTTCCTAAGGGTTTTTATTTTGTTATACAATTTATCAAGGTATTTTACTTTTGATTCCTTTGACTTTCTGATAATTTGATTCCTCAGTACTATATATGTTTCCTATCCTTCTTTACTGTTCAAACTTTTATATGGCTTTCTATCTTCTATCATGTTAACTATTTCAGTTGTAATTCAGTCTTTTCTTGCTGTAATGTTTTTGTGACATAAAGTTTTTTTTGCCGTGTTTAATGTTTATAATTGTAACTTTCAAGTTCTGCGATATATCTTTAATATTTTGGGATTCTTCAACAGTCGCGTCATTTGTGCTTTCATTATATTTTTCCCTTTTTTCTTCTTTTCTCAGATTTTTAATTTACTATTCTACCATTTTCTTTTTACCCAGTAAATATAAGATTACATTTCATTATGACTAGATTGTGATTATTATTTTTATCCACTTCTGGGTAACTTCTACATTCTTTTACTTAATTCTTAAATCTTTTTATAACTATAAAGTAATCTGTTTGTTGTTTATTTATATTTCCTGGCAATTTCCACCTGTATCTTCTTTTTTAGTAGTGAAAAAAACAAGTGTTTGTGTATATTAATCAATTGTATAAATGAGTTGAAAAAAATTCTCTACTCGCAGAATCAACTTATACAACGTATATTATTATTATTATTATTATTATAGTTTGTTTAGAATAATTTTATAACTTTATTCCAATAAACTTATTACTATAACTTATTATACTAATAATTTTAGTTTTTTTTTTTAAGTATACTAATAGCACTACAATAATATCCGAATTATCTCCAAGATGATAACTATTAAAAAAAGTAATTGTACTTTCCTGTTATGTTTCTAATCCAATAAGTAATACACGTTATCCCAACGTTCTATAGTTCTAACATTATATTAGGTATATTATGTTAATAAAGCAATATTATACTAGACAATGTCTCAGACGAGAGCATAAGGGTTTGCGCACCGCCTTTAAAACGTATGAGTCGTCACCGACTTTGAACTAGACCGGATGCGCACCGCTGAAGGAAAACCGATCTGGCGACTGTAATACGAGGTGTGACTATTAAATAGCGAGACTAGTTACGAAAAAGTGTTTTATTATAAAAATTATTCTACATTCAAACGTTCCTCTTCAATATACTCCCCTCCTCTTGCAACACCTTTCCATACGTTTTTTCCATTGATCGAAGCAGTGCTGGAAGTCTTCTTTGGTGAGGGCCTTTAAGAGCCCTGCCATTTTTTACTTTACCGCTTCCATCGACTCAAATCGGGCCCCTTTCAAAGCAGATTTTTTCTTTGGAAACAAAAAAAAGTCGCACGGTGCCAAATCTGGCCAGTACGGCGCGTGTTCGAGCACTGGAGTGCGCTTACCGGCCAAATATTGCTTCACAGATAGCGCGTTATGGGCAGGTGCGTTGTCCTGGTGCAAAATCCACGAGTTGTTCTTCCACAACTCGGGCCGTTTCTTACGAACTCTTTCTCGCAGTGTTGCCAAAACTGATAAATAGTAAATCTGGTTGACAGTCTGNGTTGACGCAAGAACTTTTGGTCAGGAGTCAGGTTTTTTGGCACCAACTTCGCACAGACTTTTGTCATATGTAATTCCTCATGTAAAATTTTTCTAACCGTTTCTTTATCAGCGTTTACAGCCTCGGCAATCATCCGGATGCTCATTTGACGATCTGCACGCACAATTTGGTTGATTTTGGTCACTGTTTCCGGAGTTGAAACAGTGACAGGACGACCTAGGCGCTGGTCATCTTCAGTGCTTCCTCGGCCCTCACTGAAGCGTTTATACCAGTCAAAAACACGTGCAGGAGATAGAGAATTGCCTCCATAGGCCTCTTGTAACAGTTTACAGCACTCAGTCGGAGTTTTTTTCAATTTAACGAGAAATTTGAAATTGATACGTTGCTCCTGTTTTTCGTCACACATGGTTTTCGGCACGAGAAAAAAACACGTTCCTTTCAAACCACTACTGCACAAATACTATAATAGTGAAAAAAACTTGTTTTGGTACGTGCATAGATAAGATATCTAGATACCCAACGCATTACTTGTTTTTTTCACTACCCATCTAGGGCGCCCTCTAGACGAGCAGTCTCGTTGTTTAATAGCCACACCTCGTATTCTCGTTTAAGACAAAGTACATATTACTAGTTGTAGTATCTATGCAGTTATTCCTATACACTAAAAACATTGATTAATTGTCATCGTTTAAAACATACTTACAATTAATTGCATACTCCGCTTTATTGATATAAACAAAAGTTGTTAGTTTAATTTAAATGTGGAATTAAATAATATTTAACAATTATTATAAATTGCAAAAATCACAGATCGGTGGATTCTAAACGGGTCATTAAAAGAGAGATGGCATTTTGCACCAATATTATTACTTGTAATATGCACCACCAGTAGGTACATTTCCCTCAGATTAATTTATATACCTTAGGATTATATTGACCTTCTCTCAAGGGAAAGGCAAACATTGTCCATGTGACATGTGACATAGACTAATTCATAAGTTATTGAATAAACAATAGCAGTAGTGAATGAAGTAATGTGTTTAACAGAACCCTTATTGCCATCGGTTATAGTTTAAAAATAATATGTTCTTAATATTATACACTGTATATCGCAACAACGAATTATGACGAATAAGCAAATGTCATAAAGTCAGTAAATACACCCTGCTCGTGATTTAATTTGTACGATGTGCATTGTACTTACTACAAGTGAGAGCTGGAAAATAAAAATTAAAAAAATATTAGTAATTTAAATATCTTTATTAGGTACTATACAGCGGGTTGACCCAACCTTTGTTTATTCAACGCTCCTATTAGGTTTTCCAAAACTCATACCGCTCACCTCTTCCCCCCACGCCGACCAATAAATTTAAAAAAAATGCAGTTTAGTTTTTAATTGGCCATTATATAAATTATTATATAAATATATAATAATATATATATTAATATTATATGAAGTGAAAATTAAATATTTTCATAGCATTTTGTTCACGGATAAGATTCTAGGATAACATAATCTTTATTATGATAATAAGTAGGTACAACTAATATACAATGATACTAACACGTCCATTAAGTTAGCGAATGGTCATTTAACATTAATTTACTTTCTAGTACCAGTATTTAGTGCTTGATTAGTGCTCAATTTATCAACGAGGTATGGAATTTTCCACATAGTGGACGAAGTGCATTTTTTAAACTAATAAACTAGATGACATAAATATCGCCCAATGAAAACATGTTGTCGGCCAGTTGATTGTATTTTTAAAGACTGGGTGACAAACAATAATAAATTGTCCTTAAAAGTCACAAGACAACCTTATGTGAGCCGTCAATTGGTAAGCAGTGGTTGTTGTCGGTCACACTTGTACGGGAGGCAGCGGTCGTAATTATATTTTCCATAGTATAAAATCATATTTTAAATTTATTATTTTCAATTTATACAATTCAAATGTAATGTCTAACCAAAATTATCTAATTTACTATTCAATATTTTATTTTATTAAATTTCTGCTAGTTACTATCGTACATAGTCAAATTCTTGTACCTGCCATGGTCTCCTATGCTTTTAATACCTATCAATGAAAATCGTGTCCACTCTGACCTCTGTCTTTGTAAAACCATTACATTTATCGCTACACTAGAATCTAAATTGTATATAATATAATACTGTTTAAAATTTAGATTAATATTTTTACCGAACGAAAATAATAATTTGATAATATTTGACAATATTATGATCTATTTATTTCAATGAATCAACATATTTACAAAATTACTTGAAAATTATTAATTGGAGAAAGTTTTCTGGTCCAAATTTTATTAAAAGACAAAAAAACAATACGTATCATAATATAATCATTAATTTTACTCCTCACTTAGATTAAAAAAATATATTCTGACCGTAAAACAAATAGAGGAACTACATTTAAATCTAGTGTTTTGACGTTTTCAAAGTAAATATTGACAAATACCATTTAGAAAAAAATAAAAATGAAACACTTACTTTTCGTATCTTTATCATATTTGAAATTTTCTATGAAACGAAATACAAATAAACTGGTTAGTAATTATAATTTTTTTTTTAATCCATGCTAACATGGAAATGAGACTCTAGGTTGATGAGTGCCGGAATTTCCCAGTAAGTAAATATAATTGATAATTTAAAACCGTTTACGGACATGTGTAAAAACAAACGCAATATTATGAGTGAACAAATAAAAAAAGTGACGAAATATGAGGTACACCTAAGAAGAATGTCATGTTCTCTAAAACATTGCCATTTAGTATAAAATGTTGCGTCTAGTTTTATAGATCTGGACAATATTGATTACCTCTTTTAACGTAGATCCATTTAATATGTAAAATAAAAATTATATTTGAAGTTGTTGATGTATGTGGATGAAAGTAAAATTATGCTGGTGCTATAAGTCTAGAAAAAGAGGAGTTTAAATTCAAATTCAAATAGATTTCGAATTTATGATATAATGATGATATGTCTTATATAATTTATAAATTTATAATATTAGATCGATTGCTCTACTACCGATTTTTACAAATTTGTTGGATGAAAGATGTGCCAGAAGATAACGAAAAAGGGAAAAGTAAATTTAACAGAATTGTATAATAATCGTAGAATAACTTCTGTATTTCTAGGACAAGTGAAAAATAGTAATAATTTTGCATTTTTCGACTGTAGACAATTTTCGTGAAAACTAAGTGACATCTAATAATGAGATAATGTACTCTAGAAATTATTATTATAAAACGATAAAAATAACTAATGCAAAGAGTTAATTTTAAAAAGACTTCGTAGGATAATGTAGACGGGTGCATCCAATGTTATAGATAATTTAATGTATACCTGGAAGCAACTATAAATCATTGCTTACGGAATCTGAACGAATTTCAGATGATATTGATACCTATACTATAGCGCACATTATTATTGCATATTATTATGCACGTTTACCTGAAAACTCTTCCGAAAATCGAAAAATAGTCTCCTCAAAGTGCCTTTCCACTCAATTTTTCTTTTAGAAACATTGCTATTGTTATAAATCAGATTAAAATTGCCGGTGGAAAAAATGTCCAAAAAAAAATATCTATGTAAAACCATAAGCTTCTTCGCTCAAATAAATATCTAAAATGTATAAAATAGATTTCTGAAATCTAAAATTATAATTTTTGGAGCAAGAGGTCTGAAATACATATTTTTCGGATTTTTAAATCCTAATTTTTATTATATCTGTAGGGAATTCAACTAGTACCATTATAATTTAAATACTGAAACACAAAAAAATAGCTGAGACTAAGATGGACGCCCTGCTATTGTAAGTTTTAAGTGGAAAGGTAGGCAAATTGTGTGTAATGAATTTCTTTTATAATAAATTTGACGAAAATAGTAACAATTATAACCCTTCAAAACATGTATAACCAAACTTCGCGCTGAGTCGTTTTGCGTTTTTGTTGGTTTATCGTTGATTACAGGTGTAAAATAAATAACTTGTAATTGTAGCGAGGGATAAAATACAAAAATAAACATAGATATTATAGATCTAAAAAAGAAAGCATAAAATCAAATTTTAAAATCTAAAATTATAATTTTCGGAATAAAAGATCCAAATTACATATTTTCAGATTGTATAATTCGGATTTTCATCATTTTAGTAGTGAATTCAACTGGTTCCACAATAAATTCAATAATAAACATAATTGTTTATTTTAATAGCTATATATACAGGATGGATTCACTAACCGTGCTGATTCCATATTTTGGATATATTTTACATTTATTCAAATTTTGATTTTTGGAATTTTAAGGCGTAGTAGCCGATATTTTCAAATACATGCATTTTTCACAATTTTCAAGGAGTATTCTGTAACAATATCAACTTTGGTTATTTAAATAGGAACCAAGGTATGTTAAAAATTCCACAAATATACCAATAATTAATTTAAATAAATGTTGGTGTTAATATGTTTGATTTCCATCAACCCGTTAACGAGATATTTCACTTTTACGATTAGGTGGGGGAGTGTAGGGGAATATCAACTATCATTTATGTGGTAGCACGGCGCAGGACGTTTTATCAGTGCTCTAATATCTCTCTCCCTAACTAAAATAAACAGTGCAGTATCTCGATAAGGGGTAAAAATTTAAGTTTTCGAAAATATTGGCTGTAATAACACTTAAAATTCCAAAAATCATTTAAATATACACAAAATTTAACTGAAAATATGAGATTATACATAATTTATTTTTGTATACATACTATTTTGTAATACCAATAAATTTCTTCTTCCAGTATACACTATAAAAATAAATACGAGCATTGCTATAGAATTTTAATTACGTTTTTTCCTTAATCGCTCAAATCATAATACTAGTTTAACTATAATTACTAATATTAATATTTTTGGAATTTTTTTTATAGAGAATTAAAAGAACAAACTGCTCTAAAATTGTGTGTGTGGGTGTGTGTATTTTTTTCCCTTATTGTTGATTACCCTACATATGGTGTAATATTTCTCAATTCTTCCTTTGCAACATTTCCTTATAGAATCATTTTCTGTATCTTACAAAATTTTATTCATATATTGATAAATGGATCTTTCATTTCCTGGTTCCCGTTCAATAAGACATGTTTTTTTGACTGATAGTCAATCGAAAATTAGTGTAAGAATTGTCTTGTATTGTTAAAAATTAGGAGGCGTGTAAAATATAGAAAAATCAAATTATGTATTTTAGTTATGTACCGTCCACATTATATTTATATTATATTATTTATATCCTAGATTTGTACCATCATGTTTTATATCGTCGAGTTTTGTACCAAAAAATATTATGCTGTGGTCTCTATGGTACCAACAACAGTAATTAAATTTAAAATATATCCGTGAATTACAGCCGAAAATCTATATTCCCGCCCAGACAAAAATCGTATATAAATATTTAAAAAAAAGTGTTTTCATTCTAGTAAATGTGCTTTATAATAGTTTCATTTTAATACATCTAATTGCATACTCACTAAGACGGTTATCTTCCGGACAACCAATAATTGTGACAAGTTCTTCTGTTAAAGATAATGAGACAGCAATATTGGTTACTCACATTAAAATTATAATTAATAATTTCATTAAGAAAATTAAATTTTCGAGTTAATATGTGTGTGGATAGTTAAATAGAACACAAATAACTTAACGTCCTAACCCAACTTTTAATCATTAATTCAAAACAAAATGTTTGTGTTTAAAAACCTAATAACTAATGAGCAATTATTACGGTTGAAAAAGCAGAGTTTAACTTTCATTATATTAATCACAAATTATGATAATTTATAACAGGGTTTTTTTTAAATAATATTTTCTGAAAATGGGTGTTGTTTATTTCAAGTTATACCAACAAATATTTTAACATGGATTAATAAGTTGTGGTATATTATATAGAGGTGAGAGTATTATAAAAAAATTGCAGATTCAAAAAATTTCAAAAATCAGGATTGCATTATAAAAATCTGTTGGAATAAATCTTCATTGCAAGAATATCCGAGGAAAGAATATATGAAATATGGTTTTCTTCCGAAAAGGAATAAAGTTTTATTTCTCTATAAATAGCTTGCTATTTTATTCACAACTTTATAATAGTTAAATAGAATGTAGACTTAATAATATTCCAATAAAATACATTTATAAATCTTTTGTGGCAATATTTTTTTTATATTTTAGAACCCGTGTATCTCCACCCTATGTTGTACATATACAAAAAAAAAAAAGACGTCATAGGATAAGGGGGACGGGTGCAGCCACTGTAAAAGGTGGTTTTTGTATAACGATAAACCATTGCATATGTAAAACGATTCTGAGCGGAGTTCAGTTAATAGTGATGTTTTGTCAAAAATATATATGTCATATTATAGTGAAATAATTAAATTGTCTTCCTATATTTTCTTTAATAATATTTGTTTAATGGTATACTGATTTTCCCATTTTGTCTATATTCTTTCCGGTTTCAGCATTTTTTATCCCAGTTTTCAAACTTGCCTGGAAAACTATTAGTAAAATCGAAAAATGATCTCTTCAAATTACCTTCTCAGTCAAATTTGCTTTTGAAACATTGCTATCGTTATAAATCGGAGCAAAATTACTAGTAGAAAAGTCATTCACAGGAAAAAAGAAGTTCTCAATATGCTTTAACTATCACCTATGTTTCTTATATTTTCCCGTTTTAATTTCGGTTTTTCAAATCTGATAAGAAAACTCCTGCAAAAATCGAAAAATGACCTCTCTTATGTACCTCTTTAGTGAAATTTCCTCCTAAATAAAGAGAGCTAAAACACCAAAAATCTAAAATTATAGATTTATAATTTTTTGTTTTCTCAAACAGTTTGAATTTTTTAATATCGTTTACATGACCTATTACATGATATTTTTATTTTTCTTGTATTTGTATAGGTAAGTCAAAATTGTGTTCTATTATCTAAACTCTTTTTTTTTTTTTGATTCTGAGTGAAATGAATAATGTATTGGTTTTTAAAAGATGTTTATTTTTTTTTTATTTTGTTATATACTATATAAAAATTCTACCAGAAATCTTGCTCCGATATATACATGTGGCACCATTTGCGAAAGAAAATATTTTTGAGCTATAAGTACGCATTATAATTTTGCGAGTTTTGTATTTTTATTCGGTACGTACGCTGTGGTAAAATTGTGGAAGTTAACAGAAAGGCTTGAAAATTTTACAGAATATTCATTAAAATTCGTACTTTTGGGGGGAAAAAAATTGAGCATAATGTAGTATTTTTTTTTATAAAGTAATTTTAATATCAAATTTTGTCAGTAATCGTTTAGGTTTTAAAAAATTATGTGGAACCAATTTAATTTTTCAATTTTTTGTTTTGAGTGTATGGTATAGCTGATTTAAGGACGATATTGAAGTGAGAATTGCTCGGATTGACTAAGTTTCGAAATTATACCTCTTTGAAGTTCTGATATTGTGCAGATATAGTATGTTATGTTAAATAACACTATATTGTCAATTTTATATTACGCCTTTCGTTGTATAGTGACCTACATATTGTCATTCTAGAGTTTACAAGTTCAAACAGGTGTTCATAAAAATATTGTTTGCATTTGTTTTTTCCCTTTTACTTAAACAGGGAAAAAACAAAATTTGGGTGTACTCATAGATACCTAATCCATCGCTCGCTTGGACTGTTTTAAACGAAAATTGCCCCTCGATTTGTTATGAAAACTTTTCTACGAGAAATTTAGCTCTGATTTAAAATGATAATTATTTTTGTGGAAGGAAATCTGGTTGGAGTGTACTTCATTCAGGGAGGATATTTTTTCGATTTACCAACGAGTTTTCCCAATAAATGGGAAAAACGGATAAATGGCTAAAATATTAAACAAAAATTATTAAAGAAAATATATAATGTTTTTTTAATTATTTAATTGTCATATTACCTATTGTGACAAAGTCTCACTATAAAGTGAATTCCGTTTAGAATCGTTTTCAGTAAGCAATGGTTTATCGTTGCTTATAGATAAAAATTATTTTCCCCTCTTTATCCTATCTTCCCAACTTCTCATTAATAACAGTGGCTCCGCTTGTCTCCATTATCCTAGGACAGCTTTTTATTTATTTAATTGTCAGTTGTATAAGTGGTAGAATAGTATAAGTCAGTATGCGGTAAATAACCCTGAGATGGATCTTTACAATCGAAATAACTACTTATTCTTATACTACACAAAATATTTTAGGTTCACTNTCAGCTCAAAAATTCTATCAAAAGAGGTTAAATCTGAGGGTATCTAAGGTTAAAAACTCGGCTATATCTGATAATCATACAACCAATAATAATGTATGGTTTACATTTTTGGACTTTGCGAAGGACTGAGGAGGATAGATTACATATTTTTGAGGGAAAGATATTGCACAAAATATACGGACATATTTATGATCAAGATATTCAAAGATGGCGGAAAAGGCACAACGTAGAACTGATTGAGATTCTAATAGACCAAGTATTGTAAGCAAGATCAAACGGAAAAAGTTGGAATGGACAGGCCACTTATGTAGTAAGCAAGATCAATGGTTCAAAGAGTTTTCCAAGAAAACCCAAAGAGCAAAAAATTTTTACTGGGTAAACCAGGGCTACGCTGGAAGAAGGAATTGGTAAATGATTTCCTAAATGCTAGAAGAATAAATTATGGAGACATGTATTGGAAGAAGGTAGCGGAAAATAGAGAAGAATGGGGAAGGATTTGTTCTACAGCAAGATTAAATAATACTTTATTGTCAATTTTATACTACGTCTGTCGTAATCTAGTCGGCTACTTACATATTTTATCCTAGAAATCACGAGTTCAATATTTCGAAAAATATTAAATATTATTTGTATTTGTTTTTTTCCCTTTACTTAAGTAAACAGGTAAAAAACAAATTTTGGGTGTACCTATCAGGGAGGCTGTTATTTCAATTTCCGAGGAGTTTTCTCAATAAATGGAAAACCCAGGAAAAACGTAGGAAAAAGGGAGAAGTAGGCACAATATTATTTGACTATTATATGAGATATATATTGTTAACGAAGCCTCCCCATCAACTGAACTCCGCTCATATACGTTTTTAGTAAGCAATGGTTTATTGTGACTTACAGATAAAAATTAATTTCCCCTCTTTACCCTATCGTCCCAACTTCTCACTCACATTTCTTAATGGTACAAAATCGAATAAATTATATACAGTTTCAGATAATAACTTGAATTGGTAGACAATTGCATAATGCGTGTTTTATCAGGTTTAATAGGGAGTTAAACTGGTAACCACATTAGCTCACGAGGGGAGGTGTGACCTATTTACTATAATATCTACTTATTCTTATACTACATAAAATATTTTTAATTCACTTACTATATGTTTCTAGAGAAAATAAAACAAAAATTAATTTGGAAATATTTACAATTAATTTCATTATGCTATTTTAGTTTCATAGAAACTTACATAAACAAATAATTACAGAAAAATTGATCATATTTCACACCAATACAAAAAAACTCACAAAGAGATCTTTTTGTGTTTTTGTATTTCAAGACGGTGTTAGGAACCCGGTTAGGTAAAACTTAAGGACGAGTTTTTTCGACCCGTAATAGTTGAGATGAAGTCAGTATTATTCACAGTATAAGCTTCTGAAAATAACACCAATTTTAATATTAAAAAAATTTACTTACCATTATCAGCCTCTAGAATAAATAAAAATGTGAACATATTACCTCAAATGTTATTGGATAATAATATTTAAATAATAATAAGATAATAAAGTAAAAACAATATTGTTAAAATGCTTAATACTCATTTATACATTTTATTAACATAACATAACATATTCGAGACTATTTCTGGGATGACTATAAATAATATAAATTATGGTTTCATAGTTTCAAACAAAGGAGAGTGTGGAATGTGCTATCCAATAATACAAATCAGTCATTCTCAAAGTGGACGATAGCGCCCCCTAGTGGGTGTTGGTGGCCTTCAGGGGGGCGGTAGGACGCCCGAAGGATTTTTAGGGGCGTTGAGTTGCATTTAGAGGGCGATACAAAAAAAATATGTATATAAATATTATATTATATTAAAAAAAGTCTCATTTTCTAAATTTTTACATATATTAATATAATAAATCTATATTTATTAAAGCAAAATACCACACATTCACTGATCGCGGATTAATTAATAATATTCCACCAATACGTAATGTGCGACGCGGCGGTCCACGGGTTTCCAGCTATTGTCGTGTAGATATAAACATTTCCTAGAAATGTCGTGATGTCGCCGTTCGTATTTAATGACCATTAGCGTTATCGTAACGGCGACAATAGCCGATTACTTAGTATTTATATTTTATAATATTATATTGCGTCCAATTTACGATGTATACTCAGGCTTTAGTATGCGATTTGGTGTCGAACCGTGCCTACCGCGTTTTGATTTTGTTTTTATATGTCATTTTGTGCACGTATAAAATATCTACATATTTCTGAAGTGAAAACTATGTCGGAAGCAAAAAAGAAAAAAAGACAATACAGCGCGGAATATATAAAATACGGATTTATTCAAAGTCGGACAAATCCATCATCGCCAATGTGCCTCATATGTCAAAAAACATTTTCAAATGAAGCAATGAAACCTTCTCGACTACTCGATCATTTTAATAAAATGCATTCAGATATGAAAGACAAAGATGTGACTTATTTTCAAAATATGGAAAAAAAGTACGTAGCTCAACCTACTTTATCAACACTTTTTTCTGCGGCTTCTAAACAAGACAATGATGGGCTTCGTGCGTCGTACAATATATCAGTGTGAATTGCTAAAACAGGCAAACCACATACCATTGGGAAGACTTAATTTTACCAGCAATAAAAGAAGTAATAACAACTGTACTCCATAAACCAGCGGCAGATATTATCCGAAGAATTCCTTTTAGCAATAGTTCTGTACATAGACGAATTGATGAGATAGCTGAAAATATTGAAGAATCATTGTGCAATCATNGCGAGAAATTTAGAGACAAATACAAAAGGCGAAACCATATTTAATACAATGGAAAAGTTTTGTGATGAAAAGCAAATCCCTCTGAAGAATATAATTTCAATTGCTATTGATGGTACCCCAGCTATGACAGGGCGTCACAAAGACTTCATAGCGTATTTAAAAAATAAAGTTCCAGACATGCTTGCTGTACATTGCGACATTCATCGCTAGCATTTAGTTGCAAAAATTTGAGTGAACGCCTGCATACATCATTGCATTATGTTATTAGAGCAGTTAATAAAATCAGAAGCAACTCACTAAATGACAGATTATTTAGTCAACTTTGCGTTGCTAATGATGAAGATTTTAATCAATTGCTGCTTCACACGGAAGTGCGCTGGCTGTCAAAAGGTACTTGTCTGACTCGATTTTACAATCTGTTTGACTCTGTGATAGAGTTCCTGAAAAACAAAGACACAGGACTTCGCGATAACCTCATCACATCAAAGAATGATATTTTGTACTTGACAGACCTATACAAGTTATTTAATGATGTCAATCTCCAACTTCAAGTTGACGACTTGAACTCGATTAAAACAAAAACTGTCATTTCTACATTCGTTGCCAAACTGCTATTATATAAGAAAAATATTAGTAGACGTGAATTTAATAACTTTCCTGATTTAGCAGCAGCATCCTTTATCAACGATGACTTGGTTGTTTACTGTCAACTCTTGGAGAACCTCCACAATGATTTCAAAGAACGATTCCAGGACATTTTAAACATGGACATACCAGACTGGGTATTATATCCTTTTTCAAATGTCAACACAGCAGAATCATTCCAGTTAGAAGAACAACTTTTAGAATTAACCACAAATAAGGAAATCAAATTCAAATTCAAGAATGGCTATCAAGAATTTTGGCTGCAAAAGCCAATCATGGAACTGTACCCTAGATTATGATCGAATGTTCAACGATTTCTGATAGCATTCCCATCATCGTATTTGTCTGAACGTAGATTCAGTGCTGTAGCAACACTGCTAACAAAAAAGAGAAATCGGTTGCTTGTTACCAAACGCGGTGATTCACGGCTGTTGTTGAGTCAATTTGAGCCAGATATTAACAAACTCATAAATGCGCATCAAGTTCATCCATCACATTAAGTAAATGATAAATTTTGAATTCATAACGTTTTTTATAGCTTGATTTTAATAAAAATAATTCTAATATGAATAATTTTAATAATAAATGTTTCGTTTTAATAAAAATACTTTTAAATATGAATAAGCATGCGTTTTAATTGCTGTCATCCAAAAGCTAATTTAAAATTTATGTTAGAGCTCAGAAATAAGATACAGCATATTTCTATATTATAAATTGTAATATCTGTTTTTAAAATACATAACAGATGGTAAGTTACAATTTTTTTTTTTTTTTTGGGGGGGGCGCTAGAAAATTTTTGATTCTCAAAATGGACGGTGGATGAAATAAGTTTGAGAACCTATGATATAAATAAACAATATTAATATTTAATTCAATGATGTAAATGAGCACAACAGCAGAATATCAAAAATAACAAGATATTATTTTAACAATTATATTTATTTAAGCAAAATATACACTATTTAGCCGCCGCTTTTTCGTCGTTACATTTCGCCGTTTTAATTATAGAAAAATAACCAGAATTAGAAACTTATATATATATATATATATATATTTAATTTTGAATAATTGAAATTGTTATACAAATCATAATTTTATTCCATTTTTGAGAGGTATCGCCCAAAATAAACATTACATTTAGTTAGATATAATATGATTATATATAAAGTAGGTATAATAAATATATATATATATATATATAATCAACAGGAAATTAATATCATAGTTCGCACAATATATATACAAAATTAATTTAATGAAGTATATTTTTTTACAAGAATATTAATATCAAATTTTTTTGACGAAAATTGTTATAGCAAAAAATTGTGTAGATCAAACCTTGTAACTGGTCGATACATATTGTTTCAATATAATATTTATTTTACTGTAATATGTCATGTATATTGTTGAAAAAACAATACTATTACACGAACTACGCTCGAAATCGTTTTATAAAAGCAATGATTAATTTTTGATTACATATATACATTACATCTCCCTTTATATTCTACCTTCCCAACTTCTAATTTTCAACAGTGGTCCACCCGTCATGCGAAGTATACCAGTCTTTTTCTTGTCAATCATAAATACTAAATTTATTATTTCGCCTCCCTCCCTATGGGACAGAAGCGTCTGGAGACGCCCCTGCCCTCGCTATGCTCCAAATAAAAAAGTAAAGAATTAAAATAGAATATAAAGATCGTAACGAAACGGTCGAATTTCAACCAATGGGTAACCCACTTGTATGTAAAATAATGCAGACGTAATATTGTAACGTAATTCTGTTTGAAGTAGTGACACTACGTACCTTCAATGTCATCACGACTTGTAAATATTTTTATCCAAATTACTTATTGTAAATAATTATTTTTTAGAATTATTTTTTTTTTTTAATGCCGAAGTGGCCTTACATCGAAATTTCGACGTAAAATGGTTTTATAGCGAAGTGGCGACAGCGAATTGGCGATGACCATTTGTTTATGTTTGCAAATATATTTAAGGCGACCAGAACGACATAAACGAGAAGTATGACGTCCGGGAAACATTTAAGTATTCTTCAATTTGTTTTTATATTTTTTGTGTTTTAATAAAAATTTTCCGTGGATCATTAATTACAATCTATTTTTCTGTTTAAATAGTCATAAGGTATATCACTGTCAAGTATAAACTCATATATAATAGTATAACAGATATTTTTTGAAAGGCATCGTTACAGCCAAAATACCACTACGAAAGATGTTAAACGTTTAATATACTTATTTAGAACTTATTTTGTGATGTTCCATATTTAAAAAGAAAATTTTATTAATACTTCAGTGACAAATAATTATTTTGCAAATTGAGTACTTACCAGGATTCGCATCTAGAATAATAAAATAAATATTATTTTTAATATCACGGACAATTTTAAAAATATATATAATTTACATTCAATACATTCGACTATATTGAATTTTTAGGAGGTCAGAGCGCACGTATTTTGCACACGTATTAAACCGATTATTGACAGGGAAAATTATACTTCCATGCATTTGGTGATACCGTGTATTTGTTGGGCTCTTTATTGTTCATAATATATAAAAATTACATATGTAATATAATTTTTGACAGAAACATAAAATGCCATTTATATGTTAATAATATTGTTTTGCATATGTGTACATTATCGTTTAGTTTTTCCAAATTACGAGCATTTTTGTCTACGGCCGTCTCCATTCGTCCTAGACCCGCAATAATGATAAACAAATTGTACGCATAGTTCGCAAAGGCAAAAATTCCCGTAATTTGGAAAAACAAAACGATAATGTTCACATATGTACAAGGGCAAAGTGGTCCATCGAGATTTCGGGAGTTTTCCCGATGGACTAGACTGCTATGAGCTATAACTATAAGCTTATAAACATTTTAATTTGCGATTTTTGTGCGTAGTTTTTATTCGGTAGTACTCAATGTTTAAATTGTCAAACTAAAAATAAATGCATACAAATTTCAGTGAAGGTTCAATAAAAGTCTTACTTTGTAGTCGGAAAAAAAAATTGTGTTTAATGTAGTATTTTTTCTTTTGATAGAGAAATTTTAATGTCAAATTACGTATAACAAATCTAATTTTGAAATTTTTTTTCCTGAACATATGTATACTGCTGATTTTAAAACGATGATAAGGTCAGAATTAATTGAACTAATATTAAGCAGATATTANTGTACAAGGGCAAAGTAGTCCATCGAGATTTCGGGAGTTTTCCCGTTGGACTATACTGCTATGAGTTATTTATAAACATTTTAATTTACGATTTTTGTACGTAATTTTTATTTGGTAGTACTCAATGTTTAAATTGTCAAACTAAAAATAAATGCATACAAATTTCAGAGAAGGTTCATTAAAAGTCTTACTTTGAAGTAGGAAAAAAAAATTGTGTTTAATGAAGTATTTTTTTTTTTTATAGAGAAATTTTAATATCAAATTACGTATAACAAATCTAATTTTGAAATTTTTTGTCCTGAACATATGTATACTGCTGATTTAAAAACGATGATAAGGTCAGAATTAATTGAACTAATATTAAGCAGATATTATATGTTATGTTAAATAACTATAAATTCTCAAACTTAAATATGTTTGCCGTAGTCTAATGGTTAAAATATTCTATTAACATCATAGAGATCACAATTGTAAACCGAAGTTTCGAAACAAATGTATTTTAAGTGTACTTAGTAACTATCGCTCGCTAAAACTATTTTAATTGAAAAATAATCCTCGATTTGTTGTGCACGCTTATCTACCAGAAATCTTGCTCCGATTTTTAATTGTAGTACTTTTTCTGAAGGAAATCAGACTAGAGTGATACTATAGGGGAGTCATTTTTCGATTTGTTTTGGAGATTTCTCGATAAATGAGACGAAACGGAAAAATGTTCAAAATGTAGGTATCAGTTGAAAANTTTACGAACAACTTTTCTACCAGCAATTTTTCTCAGATTTAAAATAATAGCACTTTTTGTGAAAAAAAATCTGAGTGAAAAGGTACTTTAAGGAGGTCATCTTCTCAAGAGTTTTCTCAGTAAATGAAAAAAACGTAAAAAAACGGGAAAATCAGTACAATATTAAACAAATATTATTTAAGTAAATATAGAATGCCTATTTAAATTGTTTACAATAGTATGGTATACATATTGTTGAAAAAGCATCACTATTAACAAAACTCCACACAATATCTTGTTTATTAAGTATAGATTTATCGTTACTTACAGATACAAATTAATTTCTCCTCTATAACCTACTTTACCAACTTCTCACCAACAACAGTGACTTCATCCATCGGGCAAAGTATATTCGTCTTTTTTGAGTTGCGATTCAGAAATTCCATTGCCATAGAAATCTGTATTTTTATTATATATAGTGCACGGAAAAACGTCGCCAAAATGGTCTAGATTTTCTAAGCACTTGGCACACTCTGACATTGCAAGAGTTTGATGGCTATAATAGTTTTATAATATATATTTACGTAATACCCATATAACCGAGCATAACAATGAGTGACGAACAACGAACGGCTGTATCGGACTTAAGTCAGATAAGAACTAAATATTACGTATTCAAATTCATATTAAGATTATTATACATATTTTTATAGTTTTAAGAAGTATCTTACTAGTTGGTAACGGTATATTTGTACTCCATTCAGGGTCTTGAATTAAAAAAAAGATATAATTATTATTATTAAGTCATTTTTTAATTCGTGAATTTATATTTAGAATTGTAAGTTAAGTTTAAAATGAAAAGTTACAGTTCTTTTTTTTTCTTTTATTACTTTGTAAAGGCAATTACAAGTTAATTTAAAAAAAATAAACTTAATTTATTTAAAATAATTTACATATTTTTAATATAAAATTAATAATTTTTATTTTTTTGTCGAATCTTTCAAATTACATAATATAATATAAGTGTTACAATTTTTAAAAATTGTATTTAGTGAAATTAATTATTTCTATACTAAATATGTATATTTTATTTATTATTTAATACTGAGGAGAGCTAGATTGTAATATTATTAATAGTAGAATGTTGTAATATTAATAACACTGTACACTACCTAATGTGAAAAATTGAAATTTATGTAACAGATTTGCCCGAGAAAAATCCGAAATTTGACGTTTTACCTAAGTATCGTGGGCACTTCCCGTTTTGCTCGGGCATTTCTGAGATTTGTCCAATTTCGGATTTTACCTATAATATATACTATGGTGACCAGACTCTTCTTCGTAGGAGAGTGCTCTTTTTTATGCATTGTCCTATGTCCTTAACATTAGTGTTAAGTACATTAAAGTGTACTCTTTTTTTTGAAAATATAAGCTAATACGTGTTTACGATTTTTATAATTTATTTATTCATTTATACTTTTATATTTTATTGTTCGACCTAATGCATTCCAAATGTCTACAAGTAACCGACAACGGTTGTATTTATTTATTTAAATTTTTACCTATAAAAATTATTTATTTAAAATGATTTTTTTTGGAAATGTTAAACTTCAAAGTATTTTCATCATAAAAACAAAAACCAAATGAGTTGACATTATGATTTCAAATGATATTCAAATGAGTTTTTATAGTTGATAATAGAAAAAATAATAATATAGTAATCAGATAAAAAATAATGTATATAGATGGAGATGACCTATGGGCAAAATGGGTAGAACAGTATACACATTGGCCAATTCTTTCAAGGTAGGAGTTTTTTTTATAATAAAGACAACAAATTTTAAAACGCACTTTTTTTTTATTTTTATATCTGGTCACCATACATTGGACATGCTATACGTACTACACATTTAAATTAATCCATGATGGAAACCGACAAAATAATTAAAACTATCGAAGTCTTACAATTCGATTTAAAATTATTAAAATATTCTTTTATTTCAATAACATCATAACAAGTGATAACATCTCAATTGCTTTCTCGTTTTTATTTATTCTCATATAAATTAATATCTTACAAGCGTACGATAATTCTACTTATCTTTTCCACTTGTACCGATGTTACTGTTTGGGTTCCTTTATATTTTGAGAGTTTCTAAGAAGATTCTGCCTATCTTCTTTCTCCTAGTCACCAGTTGCACACTCAAATTATAATCTTAGTAATCTGTGTACCTTTACTCGCCGTCTCTTAATAGTCTTAAGCCACCCGCTGTCGCTCATCTTAACTTATCGTACTTCTCTTGTTTTTTATAAGCCTGCGGTGTTTTCTAGCTTCTTCGTGGCAACCAACTTAAACTCACCAATTCTAATTCGTTCTTCTTTATCTGGTTCCATAAAACTCCAGTCACCTTCTAATCGTAAGCAATGATCGTCTCTTGATGACATTCTGAAGACTATTGATGGTTTACGCTCCGCTCAGACAAAACTGATAACTAAACATGAAGTACTTTATACCGAACTAAAGATTTGTTTTAACACTCTTTTTTTTCAAGACATAAAAAAAGCATTCATCACAGTAAAATCGATAGATCCCTCGCTACGCTCCGAATCTAAAATGTAGGTACTATAAATTGTCTTAAGATACTAAATTATTTTTGGTTTATTCTTAGCAAATATTTTACTATTTAATTAAATACTAATTTTTGCAACTATATTATTAATTATTATCAACTTACATTGTTGCCATAGTACAACTTATATATTATTACTTTTTATAATATATCTAAATAAATTGTAAAAAAAAAATACAAAAAAATGGGTGTTTTTATAAATAGAGAAATATCAAAAGATGGATGGATGGATGGCAAACCCTCAATTAGTTTTGAAAAACATTTTTAGTTAGTGCGTGGTTTGTATAACCCATTTTGAAAAGGTTGCCTGACAATTATTATACTGCTTCGCGCCCAAGTGGCACTCACTGAGGTAAATTATACGTGTATGATCAGTAGTACTACCAATGAAAGTGTGTTTAGCATTGGTGTTTTGCCAATAAATTAAAGAATTTTAAATAAATAAATTAAATAATTTATATTATTATTACTTATTGAAATTTAATTATTATTATTTAATAATTATCGTATAATATCTAAAATCATAAACTATACGTTAAATTTCTTGTTTTAGGTATTCTATGGTAAAAATATTATTAATATAAAATATTTTAATACATTTTCAGAATATTTGATTTATATGTATTCTGATATTTTTAAACGTATCTTACCATCGGGTGCCAGCATCTCATTGATACCCTGGTCTACGGTAAAAATAAATTATAATAATTTTTAAATTCCACAGAAAATTACAAAATTAAATTTCAGTTACATATTCACAAGGCTGGGCAAGTTAATTTTTTTTTTTTTAACTCGTGAACCTATATTCTGAATATTTAAGTACCAAGTATACTTAACTGCCTGATGCCCTAATATAATATCACAAGTACCTACGATCTACTTATTAACACAAAATATAAATTACAAATTATATACAATTATTCACTGTAAAACCGTTGATTATGTGACGTGTGTACAGTAGGCGTACGATAATTTACATTAGCGTATTATTGTAAAATTAGTACACCTGGTATCAAGGCGGGCTTCATTAATGCGATATGTTTCCACGCAGTTCGTAATGTTAAGTAAGGTGTTAATGTAAAGTTTATGATAGCAAAAAATATTTGTTATCACTACATTACGAGATTTATATTAGGCATAAATCAACTGATACACACTGAAAGAAAAATTATTCTATAATCAATATACACTAGACATGTAATGCTATCTGAATTTTCCGAGATTTTTTTTTAAAACTTTAGTTTTAAATGCTTACAAAAAAATAATATGACTATACAAGTCAAAATATATTGAAAATCGTATCATGTATAGAAAATGTTAATAAAAACATTAAAAAACTTCAAAAACCTACAGTTATTCATGTTTTAATTATGAAAAAATATAACATTATTACTCTTCTGTTATTCGTAATTCTCATATATTATGTATATTTACCAATTATCGTGAATGATCTGCATGTGTCGATGAAGACCATCACAAAAATTATAGAAATTACAATTAAACGTTGCATTGTTAATGTTAACTGATGAGTATCTTACGAATAAGAAAAAGAACGTCCGTGTTATAAAAAAAAAAATGTAATTTTCACTCTCTTTTATAGAGATTTAAGACGAAGAGTAAGCAACTATGTAAATAATGTGTTGTTTATTCAATGCAATATTCGTATAATATATGATGTATAAATATTTACACATTTTTTGTCAGTAATATTACTGAGTTAAGATTTTTTAAGTGTAATTCTTTTAATGCTATATCATTTTCTAAGACAATGGTTCTCAATCTTTTTAGGACTGCGACCCAAATTTTCCTCCCAAATTCTATCGCGAACCACTTGGTTTCACTTTTGGAAAATTCGTTTATGCAAATAGCAGGGAAAATCTTAAAATTACCTTCTTAAAGTACCACCACAGTCAGATTTCCTTTCAGAAAACGTGCTAATCTTTTTCTAAAATCGTTTGCTAAAATCTGAGCAAATTGATGGTAGAAAAGATGTTTACAGGTACAATAAAAATATAAACATTATAAAACCAATGCATTCCTCCAATGCTCTGCTTAGAATCTAAAAAAATTAATTTCTTGGAATCAATATAATTCAAAACAATTTTTTCGACCCACCTAAAATTGGCCATGTCTCACAGTTTGAGAAACTGTGCCAAAGTAAATTAATCACATTTTGAAATGGATTTTATTTTATAATATAAATATTTTACACTTGGTTATACTATGATGTGTTTTGTTTTTATTATTTTTTCTGCCTATGAACAACTTTTCTTACAAGAATCTTACTCCGAAGTATAGAACATAGCACCTTTTCTGAAAGCGAAGTTCATTTTTTAATTTTCTAAAAAGTTTTACAAATAATTGGGAAAACCCGAGAGAAAATTTTAGGTAAAACGATAAATACTTACAGCGTTGAAGTTTTCATTATTTTTAATTTTAGATTTTGAGTGTAACGAAGAATGTATAGATAATACAAAGATGTTTAATTTTTTTTTTATATATATATATATATATATAATGAACACTTTTTTTACCAGAAAGCTTACTCCAAAATATACGATATAATCCCTTTTCTGAAAGAAAATTTTCTTAAAATGGTACTTACTTGAGAGAAGTAATATTTTGATTTAGGCAGTTTTTAATAGTTTCAAATATGAAAAATCGAAAAAAAACTGAAGAAAAACAGAAACAATGAACGAAATATATTAATAAATATTACGTTTTTATTTTTCTGAGCACAACTTTTTAAACGCCAATTTCGATCTGATTTACAATGATAAAACTTTTTCTAAAAGGAAATTTGATTAAAGAGGTACTTAAGAGTGGTAATTTTTCGATTATCCCGGAAGTTTTCAAATAGAAAAAACGAGGAAATGTACGAAATATAAGGATTGTTGAAAAAATATTACGGTCTTACAAAATTGAATGCGAAACTATCTGTTAATAAGTACTTGGAAAATGTAGATTTTTAACTAATCAATGCCCAGATTTCAGAAAAACAAGGCTCAAAACTGGTTTTAAATACCAGTAAACATCGATAAAACCAATATCAAAATTAAAATCAATATCGAAACCGAAGAAATTTAAAACTAGTAGTTAAACTCCAAATTGATACCGAAAAAATGTAAAACTACATGTTATATCTGTTATGATAATACGACTAGGGCAATTTATTATCTTTCATACATATACCTACTACAGATATCGATGCAGATGTCCAAGCAGTAGTCATCAGAAATTTGTTTGTAGGAGAAAAAGGATTAATATCGCTTTAAAATTGTTATAAATATTTGTGTGTATAATTGTTTGATATGAATATACACAGTGATTTTTTTACCATGAACATGAACCAACAATTATCTCAGAGAATTTTATATGAATTTGATTTCTGTTTTTTTTTTAATCATATTTGAATCGTTTAAGCTTTATTTTATAACCATTTTTTACCTCTACTCCATGTATCTTAAATAAATTCATACTTTTAATTTTCTAACCAACTCTTTTTGTACACAAGATATTAATTATGTATCATGTATACATAATATTATGTATATTATGTTACGGCCGTTAAAGATAAACGCCGAAATAGTGCAAATTTCAGAAATGTCCACGAAACTTGGGCAAAAAGTCATATTTCAGCTTTTTTTCGAACAAATCTATAAAGTATAGTGACTTACATCATTTGGGCAAAACTGTAACGTCCATAAATTTCAAATTTACCCGATTTCGGCTTTTGATCGTAATATATATATCATTTTTTTATGTACTTATAAATATATTATTAATTATAATTTAAACCTATAAACTATTATTTTTAATTGCCAAGGAGAGGAGTTATAAAAAAAAAAAAAATGATAACTTTTGCTTTTTTTGAGTGACGAGGAAAACCCTCACGATATTATATGGTGTATTACAATTTTTAACCGCTCCACCCATGATTGAGCTCCGGATACGCTACTGTATACGTAAATACACCGATATATACTTCGATGATAAATGATAAATGTTCTAAAATTATAATAGGTACGTAGGTACTCGGCGTATTACTATTTTATCAATATTTGTTTAGTTTATTGACTTTGTTCGTTGCACGTTTGTATAAAGTATTAAAGTATTATAATCATTAGTATAGTGATTATTCTTATTATAAGTTTTTAGTTCTATTATTTATATACTTGATTAAACTATTATTAGTCTTAAAAGCGATTTTTACATTAATTGTATTATTGTTCAGTTATTTATTGTTTATTTATTTTATTTTTATGTATAAATTTTTTATTTATATTTTTTTTTATTTTATTTATTTGCGAGTATTAACCATTTTAAGGTTGCCCCATAAATTTGTTTTTGTTTTATTATTTTATTATACGTATTTTATACGGGCATGGTATCACAATGTTGCGCACCAAATGGTGTGTGCATATTGCATAAATATTTTTAGTTTGGGAGCAATAATATTATGTTCACGAAATATTAGTTCTTCACCAAGAAATAATTTTGAATCATTTTTTTTTTTAATAGCATCCAGATATTTTTAATGAACAATTTATAACGATTAGGTTCTAAAAAAAATTATTTTAATAAAATGGCATGAGGTGCGCTTGCACCAATTTAATTTGATTAAAAAAAATATTGTGATATACAGATATACATTTAATATAATTTAAAGCATTTAATATTATAATCTACCTTTTAAATAAATATTTTTTTTTTGTTTTCAATTTTTACCGATTGTTTTGAACTCAAATAGGGCACCAAAGTGAGTAGTGCATAAAGCCTCTGTCTCTTTAAATCAGGCCATGATTATCAATATTTGTTTAGTTTGTTGACTTTGTTCATTGTACGATTGAATAAAGTATTAAAGTATTATCATCATCATCAGGGGAGTTAAGTGAGCATTACATTATTAGCAAAACTTTTCAAAACACTTGTTGGAATTTGTTGGAACCCATTTTTTTTTAACTGTCCCACCTTTTGTTTTGTAATGCTAACTTCACACTTAGCATTACATGTATACTAAAACCGTTCAAAAACCTTCCAACAATGTTTAAATACACTTTTTGGGCATTGTTAGAAACTTTTTGGAATTTGTTAGAGCCCCCTTTTTTAATATTATATTGATTATTTTGTATTCATGTGTATTTGTATTCGAATGGTTATGTTTTTATTATTAATTATGTTATGCGCATTGCTACTAATTTATTACTAAGCAAGGAATTTCATACACTAAAAAAATCATCAAATATGCAGTTAAATATGGCCCCAAAAAATTGTATAACACTAAAAACTTTGTTTTTTCGTTGAATAATTAATTTATTTCAATTATTTTACTATATTATACATATTATTATTTATTTTATTATATAGCAAATGCGGGATCTTATCTATTTATGCTGTACCTAAAAAAATAAAAAAAAGATGTTTAAAAATAATTGATATATAATTCTCAATTATTTATCTTAACTAAATCAGAATTGCACAGAATCATCAACATTTCTTTGATATTTTTAAATAGTAGATAACGTCTGTTAATTGTCAACAGATTTTTATATTGCGAATAACTTCGTTCATCGTCCACAAACTTGATTGGTGCATATTTAAAATAAACCATTTCACTATCATTTAAATTTCCTAATTCATCCATTTCGATATTTTCCTCAGCGTCATTTTAAATGTTTGAAATTGTAAGAAGTATACTAAAACCTTTGATTTTTTCTATAGTTTTTTTTTATGTTTTTCCATAACTAATTCCATAATCTTTGATTTAGTATTAATTCACATTTGGGAGCAGATTTATGCCAACTAGATGTAAATGGTAGATATAAGAGCTTAGGATTTATCAGCAGAACATTAACAGATCCAAAACAAAGATATTGGATAAGAGAATTGGCCTGTCAGCTGTTGTTTTTGACTGTAAGAAATTTTGGAATTATCTGTAGGGTCATGAAGTCACATTTCTGACCGACCACAGATTATTGGTGTTCCTACGAAGCTGTAAATTATCGAGTACAAGAGTAATCCAGTGGGCTGTGTAGTTACAAGGATATGGGTTTTAGATATGATATGTTGTTGGGAAAGAAATACTCTGACTCGATATCGACAGTCACCAGCGGAAGAACTTTGTATCAGGGATACGGTTATTACTATAAATAAACTCGTGTTGAAGGATCACTCAAAGTATCTCAAGCAAAAATTTCAGAATTTAAGGGGATTGCAGGTAGCAGATGATCGGTTAGGCAAAATCATAAAATGTTTACGAGCAAAGGTCAAGAGTATCTAATATCCTACAAAGACATTTGGTTGGTAAAGGATGGACCGGGAAGAAACCAAGTATTTCTACCACAAATAATAGTAGGGAATCTTATTCAAGAGAAACACACCAGAGGTTCGGACACGTAGGAGTATTTAAGATATATTAATTACTGTGCCAAGAATACTAGTGGTCAAACATGTATCGGCAAATCAAGCAAATCATTAAAACCTGTTACCTATGCCAGAAAGCTAAAAGTTTCAACTGACAGTCTAGGGAACCAATGCTGGGCCAGTTGCCTCCGAAACCAT